GCCCGCACAGGGCTGTTTTCCATAGAATGAGCATGTACCTCCCAATCTGACTGGGAATGCCCATCTGGATGCCACACAAAGCTTTGCAATGTGCACACAAATTCACATCGGATTTACACCCAGAAAGCAGCGAGTACTTAACTGAATGAAGGTATTTTGGCCCCATGTGGCTAGCCCTGGAGACAGTTGATACACAGCTCCTTTTAAGTCAGGAGCTCAAGCAGGAGACAAGGAATGGTTTGGGAGGGAGACTTAAAGACACAGATCTCTGAAGGGGATTGGAGACCCACCGTGGTCTAGATCTCCCTTTCGCTCCTTCTCCACCAGAATAAAGTAATCTGCCTTAAAGATCATGCATATATTATGGTACCTGACCCCAGTCTGATCAATGAAATCCCATCACCACTCGGTTAGAAGGGGTGCAAGATGTTATACACTAACAGTGGGAGTGCTGGAGGGTACAAAGTTTTTTGTTTGATCTTTACAGCTCTCACAGTGGTAGCAATTTAGCTGAACATGCATAGCTGTCAACTTTCAGATTTGAAAATAAGGGATCAGCAGCCTCACCTGTCCCGGGGACAGTCTACGGGATATCTAACAATCCGGGATAGAAGCGGGAAGCAGTGGGAAACGGCATGGGAATAAGGGAATTTCCCGCAAAAAAAGGGAAGGTTGACAGCTATGTGAACATGGGGCCAGCTTTGTTCAGGGAGGCAATAAAGGATTGGCGCGTACCTTGTTCTCACAGAGAAATTCACACAACAATGTCAAATGGTGAATGGGAAACTTAGGAAGGATACCTTCATGGAAGAATGGCTTGAATTCTGTTTCCTTGTTAATTTCAGCAAGGAGAATAATGATCTCCAATTTCTTAATGATTGCTATGGATTTTCTCTCCTAACTGCAGTATATCGTACTAGGGAAATAGTGATTTTCTTCCTCTTCTGGCTGACTTTATAACTCAGTGATGAAAGGTTTATTTTTACTCTTTTACTCTTTTGTGTTGCTGTTGTTTGGATTGTTATACTCCTATATTAAAAAGCTTCCTGTCTGCTTTGAAATCAACACTAGTGAGAAGTAAGAAGTAAAAAACTTGCAGCATGCCAGACATAGCATGATGTAGTACTGCCATCTTGTGACTTGTAAGAAGGCAGAGGCAAGAGGACTGCTCCTTGTACAATTTCATGTGCAGAGCCGTATGCAGGTGGGTGTATGCAGTGTGAGGACTGCTGCACAGTTTATATGCACATGTTGTGGAATATATAAAAATATAAAAATATTTTTTTTAAAAAAATTGCACAAAAACAAAAGAAGCAGCTCAGGCTCACACTAGATTTGATGGCAGAACTGCTCCCATGTATAAACTAGGGGAGTGGGATCTCCTGTTTGCAACAAAAGGGCCATTCAAGTGGGGTGCTAAACTCTCTCCCCTGTATTATAGCTTCTCTCCAGGGCCATTTTCTGCCCAGCTTGGTTCCAGAGCAATGTTAAAAACTCCCCAGGCACATTATGCAACTGGTGTGGGTCCAATTGTAACCACATAATCTCTGGATGATGCCAGGTTGGCGACTGGCATCTCCATCTGGCTGCCCACCTCTCAGCTTTTTAGGCAAATAAGCAGAAGAGTTTACTTACTGCATTTATATCCCATCTTTTTCTCCAAGGAGTACATGGTTCACCCATGTCCTCGGTTAATCTCTACGTCAACCCTGTGAGGTAGGTTAAGAGGTTGTGACCCAAGGTCACCCAGTGAGCTTCATGACTGAGTGGGGAATTGAACCCTGACCTCCCAGGTCCTAGTCCAACACTCTAACCACTATACCCCACTGGCTTCCTAGAGTTCTTCTGATATGGGGCAGCTATATATATTAAGTAGGTAAATAAGTATGGGGAAAGCAAAATGTCACTTAGAGAAGGATCTGAAATATCTTCCTTGAAGCTTTTATTTGTTTTATTCTGGGTTGTTTTATTTGTTTGGATTGTTTGATGTTTGAATGTGTTGTAAACTGCTTTGAGATGTTTTCTTTAAAATATAAAGCAGAATATATATAATAAAAAAATCCAATGGGGGGGGGGAATGGTGCCTATGCGTTCCATTGTGGCAACCACAATCTAAGTTCAAGCTGTCATTTGGGGATTAGCTTATACATTTGAGTTTCTGACACTGTTCCAGGAGGAAAGGCTACATGGAGCCAAGCACTAAGTACAGGGAAGATTCAGTTCCCCTCACTCTATGCGCTCTTTTGCTCCATAAATAAATAAATAAAAAATGCATTTGCAATTCCACTTTATATGTAACTGGGGGACCCACAAATGGAGCTGCTGCTGCTGCTGTCGTGCGTAGTTTGAGTCTCAGATACACAGACCATTCATGACCACATGCCCAGATTAAAAAAATGTGATCAGAGGCACCACATGAAAGAAACAGAAGCAATCATGAGAGCATTGAAGAGTTTTCTATAGGCTGTTTGGGCATTTTTGACATCAGCACATTTACAGCAGTGAGTCTAGGAGAAACAATGTCGGGTTTGTGGGGCATGTGCGTAAATGTATATAAAAAAACACACACACCCAAACATCAAAGAGAACCAAGTAGGATGACACAAACATGGGAATATATTATCACCCTTAGGCAATCCCTAAAATAAATGACTGACCCTTTTCAGCCCACATTAAGGCTATTCATGCAGTTTGTCAAAAGGGAAAGAATGCCAGAGAAGACAGTTCAGAAGCACTTTACTTATAAATAGTTACAGCTGGTTTCTTTATGAAATTACATGGCACTCTATGGCTCCTAAAGCAGCCCCCAGATAACAACTTGCAAAGACTATCAATAGAACAAAACCAATAAAATCATAAACTGTTAAACCAGAAGAACAAAGTAGTTTCTTGAAACCTCAGGACAACTTGGAAAACAAAGTAAAATCCACAAAAGGTTTATATCGATCTCCTAAAAACCAAGGGACTGGAAGTGTGAAGTCTCTTTGGAGAGAGACTCACCTAACACAGGAACCACGGCTGAAAAGGTCCTGCCCCTTCCCTGAAGTTAGATGAGCCAGAAGAACAACTGGACGCCATTGGTAAACCAGTGATAGAGAATATCAGATCTGAACTGTAAGCAGTTAAAAGATTAGTTTATGTTAGTTTAAGCCAGTGGTACTCAAAGGGTGTGGAGTGCCACACTGGTGTGGCAGGAGAGGATGGCAAGTGTTGCAAGAAGATTCAAGGACAATCAAAGAAACATTCAAATGTTTCAGTGTAATATAAAAAGGTAAAGGGACCCCTGACCGTTAGGTCTAGTCGTGGACGACTCTGGAGTTGGGGCGCTCATCTCACTTTACTGGCTGAGGGAGCCGGCGTACAGCTTCCAGGTCATGTGGCCAGCATGACTAAGCCGCTTCTGGCAAACCAGAGCAGTGCATGGAAACGCCATTTACGTTCCCGGCTGGAGTGGTACCTATTTATCTACTCGCACTTTTTTGACGCGTTTTTGAACTGCTAGGTTGGCAGGAGCAGGGACCGAGCAACGAGAGCTCACCCCTTCAAGGGGATTTGAACTGCCGACCTTCTGATCGGCAAACCCTAGGCTCTGTGGTTTAACCCACAGCGCCACCAGTGTCCCTCAGTGTAATATAGTATAGTATATATTTTTTAAAAAAAAATCTGCAGAATACAGATCGATATCTTTTCAAAATGAGAGCAAGAACATCAAGAAATACTGAGACCAATCCTGGTTGTGATCCAAAATCGCCATTCAGACAGAGTGCTTGAGAAGGCTCATTTGACTCCTGTAGCAACCTCAAGCAAACCTCCAAACAAGGAAGTCTGTCGACCATATGTGGATAGCTATCTGAGCCTCAGATTCACATGGACTGGAGATGAAAAATGGACTTTGTTTGTCTCAAATTAGACCTAATATAAATGAGATTACCTGGGAAAAGCATTCTCATACCTGTCATTGAGTCTGTACACATACTTAAAGTACATTTGTAAGTGGCGTGTTTATAATTATATTTTGGGAATGATTTGTGTTCTTATGTGGCTGCATTGTTTTATACTTTCTGGATGTCCCATAATCATATTATAAATAGTTGTGTTCTGTGTTATAAACCAAGCATAGCTAAGTTTCTTTTTGTCTTCCAGTGTATTTCTTATCAATAAAATTTTTGGTGTGGTGGGAGCAAAATTTTATTACAGTCATACCTTGGGTTACAGACGCTTCAGGTTGAGTTTTTTTGGGTTACGGACCCGCCGAAACCCAGAAGTACCAGAATGGGTTACTTCTGGGTTTCGGGGGTTGCGCATGCGCAGAAGCGCCAAATCACAACCCGCGTGTGCACCACTGTGGGTTGCAACGCTGCGGGTTGCGAACGTGCATCCAGCATGGATTGCGTTCGCAACCCGAGCGTCCACTGTATTTATGTGTGGCCTAGAGAAAGAAGTTTGAGAACCACTGGTTTAAGCCATAAGTTTCCTCTCTCTTTACTATCTGCTCCTCCAAGGTGTACAAATTTAGATTATCACAGCAAACTTTATCAGGGGAAGGGCCACTCTTCCTTTTGCCCCCTTCTACTCAGATCACAGTGGGATGATGAAACATTTGGGGATCAGATACCTCTAGAGATATAGTATAGATTAATAAAGGTAATTTGCTAGGAAGCATAGGGCATTCCATTCTTGGCAGATGAGAGAGAAGGTCAACCTTTCTGAAATTTTATTTTCTCCCCTCATACTTCACACTGTTCCCTTGAAGCTTGTACCACAGTTTAAAAAAACAAAACAACAACAGGCATAATTGTGTGTTTCCATTCCATAACCCAGGGTTTACTGTCTCTGTGTGGAATTCAGATGCCTCACAGGAACATAAGACAAAGCAATACAGGAATCTGCCCATTTGTAGGCTAACCTTGCTTCCTGAAGGTGGCGCCTCTGCCAAGGAAGAAGGGGGAAAGGCTGTTTCTATAACTGGTTTTACGCAATTTTCTCAGAACATTTCCTACCGATGGTTGTTACTGCAGAAACAGAGAAGAAGAAGGAGCCAACAAAGTCCCATCTGCCCAGGCTCGTGTTTCCCTTAAGGTAAAGCCCACTCTTGTAGGCCTGGATGATGCCCTGCAAAGAGATAAGAAGGAATAAGAATGAGAGTTTCTGGCAACAAGGCAGCTAAGTCAGCCTGGAGACTGTCAGACCAAGGCAAGATCGGAACTTGCTTTTCTGGCATGGCACATATTTAAAACATGAATAGGCTCCTTCCTCTAAGGCAGGCATAGGCAAACTCCGGCCCTCCAGAAGTTTGGGACTACAACTCCCACCATCCCTAGCTAACAGGACCAGTGGTCAGGGATGATGGGAGTTGTAGTCCCAAACATCTGGAGGGAAAGAGTTTGCCCATGCCTGCTCTTAAGGGGCTATCATAGGTGGCTCCATGGGGCTTTTTGTGTACAGCAATTTTAAGGATAGGTTGTGTTTTCACCCTGTTCTTTAAAATGAATTGGAACTGCTGCTGTTTTAGTGTTTTTAACTGCATAGAAGTCTGCCCTAGGATCATATGATAAAGGTCAGGTAAAAATATTATTAATAAATAATGGGATGGGGCAGTTTTCAGCTTGAACATGCAGACCACAGTATATATGGAACATGGAAATTACTTAGTAGTAGTCATATGGCATAATTACTCCACAGTAGTTACAACAGCCAGAGGTGTAGGGAGCACAGAAGCAGTGAGGAGATGCACTGTAAATGTGGCTAGTTACTGAAGAGTAAATCCCCATCATAGTTTTTTTTGCCACTGGGTGATCTTGAGTTAAACTGTGCATACACCAAAGGGTTAATGTGCATATGGGTCACACAGATCCATTTTTTCTCTGAGTATTTTTTTTTTTTACACATTTTTCCACATGCAAATACTGTCAGTTGAACTCTATCTCAGTGCTTCCCATCCACGCTAGTGGGCAATGCTTGGATGTATGTGCACTGTGTATTGTCCCACTCCCCACAATTAGTACTTCCCACCTTCCCTGAAACCTGATGTGCATTGTGGGCAGGTCTGGAAGTATTTGTTTAACTGTGCCAGCAGCCAATTTCTTACTTTGCTTTAATATCCAATATAACAGCTAATTTAATAGGCTAATTTAAAGTGTGTGTGTGTGTGTGTGTGTGTGTGTGTGTGACATACCCTGCCTTGCTAGTAGCCCACCCTTCCTGAATTCTGGAAACCATGGGCATGCACACAGGTATTTGTTTCTTGTGCACATGGCCATTATGATTACTATTTGTATACAAGTTTTTCCATATATAAGATTTGCACGGAACAATGGGTTAATTTTTTTAAAAGTGCGTGTTAAATACAAATATTATTTATTTGTGTATCTGAAGCCATTACAAAAATGAAATACCCCAAAAGAACCCCACTAGCCCACCGAGGAGCACCTGCCAATGGAAGGTGGGGGTGGAGTGACAGATGGTACCCAGCAAAATGTCACCAAAAATGTTTTTAAAAGTACCCAAATAATGTGCATCCACTAATGCAATATCCACAAATTGGGAAAACCAAAATTTAAAGGGGACGGGGAAGTGCAGGCTGCCACTTGAATAAGGACAACGTTGTGTTGACAGTGTAAAAACCAAACAAACGTGCACACATCCATTTTAAACTGGTGTGTGCGCGCACATGCACAAAGCCCTAGTTGCTACCTTTTAGCTCATAGGGTAAGGTTACAAGACATCCCCGTTTCCTGGGGACAACCCCCAGATTCACAAATCAGTCCCCTGACAAAATCCCTCTATTTAGTAGGAAGTTGAAAAGTGACCCCGGATTCATTAAAAAAAATCTGGTAACCTTATCATAGGGTAGCTGTGACTACAGAGGGCAGGGGAGAATCACATAAACCACTCCATGGAAAGAAGATGGGATATAAATTTGAACAGACAGCTGCCTCTTTCACAGTGATCCTTTGACAAGGCAGAGAGAAGCCTTTGTTTCCCCTGTTTATACTTTCCCTATTCATGCGTGACACTTTGTTCCACCTGCTAAAGCTTAATTAAGATGTTGGGACGTAACAGAGAAGGGAAATTAAGTTATTAGTTATATTTGCACTATTGATTTTTGATCCACGCTTGCTCTTGGTCCATCCTGCTTTATTAATATACAAGGAAATATATATTTTATAATAAAATGCTGAAATGAAGAGAACAGTCCCTGTTCTTAGTTGCCCTGGCAATACTTTATAGGGCCAGCCTGCTTGTGATAATGGCTTTAATTAGTTCTGTGAATTTGGAAGCTGGCAATATGCTGCCACCTTCCCAGGGAAAAGCTATAGCTCTGGTTGGATTCTTGGCGTCTGACAGGACGACGTATATCTATCTGGCCTGCGACAACAGTCTGAGCTGTTAGGGGAATATGAGGCACATGGACTGGGCCAAGACTTGGAATCCGATAGCTCTTGCAGAAATCCACCTCAGAGCTTGAATGGTAACTTTGTAGGGAGGATAAACTGGATGGAGAGGTACTGCCATGACATGCCTGTGGGTTCCCCTCCCTCCCAGCACCTCCCCTCTCCATACCTCAGTTTCCCCCTTTCTCTGTTTTGCCAGAAATCTAGGCTGAGTAAACACAGTTCAAAGAGTTAATTCCAACAGATAAGCAGCCCTTTTATGGTTGGACTTAATTCTGATATACCAAACAGAGGACTTGAGGAATACTAGGTCATTTTGGCATCTTAATTGCACCATGGATTTTATGGTGAGATATGTCCTGTGATGACATTGCAGAGGAAACTGGTAACATGGATAGTTACAACATTGCTGCCAGCCTTCTTGGTTCTGCAGGTCTAAAAATTGTTTTGTTATAAATGTTTATCAAACAACAGCAGGAGCTTTTCCCAGTATGGAATCATGGATTTAAGAACGCGTGTTTTTAAAGAAGGGAGACCTACTTCAATTTTAAGTAATGCAATAGGTGCCCTATGTGACTCCCAAATAGTTGATGTAGGAACACATACACTAGAGCTACACCAAATTGCTTCACAACATGACAAGCAAGATATGTTCTTAGCAACAATTTTTTATCCTCCCTTCTAACAAACAATGTATAATAAAGCATCTTTATAGACCCCAATGAATGAGTAGATAGAATTTGAATTGCCTCAAAATGGGCCCATTATCACAAAAAATGAAGCCTTAAGCATTAAATAAACGACACTGATAGATGATAATGACCATCCAGGATCTGTTTCTTATGTCTTCTGGCAAGCATCATCACTTTGTCTTACTGTAACTAATAGATCTAATGTTAGAATAGATTCCAAATCTGGACAGTAATCTTGGGATAATGAATCAGGAATGTCATAGCCTCCATTAAGCAGCACTTCTCATTTATTTAAAAGATACTGAACATATTTTTTTGTGGGAATATCAAGATGACTTAGCCCTTGTTCACACATCACATTAAGCCATAGTTGCAAGACCCTGTGAATTAATGTGAATGCTCAGTGTGCCTGTGTGTACTGCTGAAACCATGGGTGTTGCAGTCTTCCTTTGCAGCTGGAAAGCAAACCATGGCCTGCCTTTGCATTACCTCCAGTCCTGGGCTCATGGTTGGTTTCCTTCAAACAAACAAGTGCTAAGTCCAGAGCAAACTTTGGTTACTAAGAGGAACCAACCACAAATCCAGGTTCAGATGCAACACTAAGTGAGACCACGGCTTGTTTCCCGGCAATGGGGGTGGAGTGAAGCACCCATGATTTCAGCAGTATGAATAAACATACTTGGTGTTCTCATTAAACCAAAGATAAAATAAAGTATGGTTCAATGCGACATGTGAGCCAGGCATTATTGGGTAATAGTTTTCAGGGTCTTCTAAAAAGCCTTGGAGAGGATTACTTTATAAGCCATATCTGAAATCAAAGTTTCTTTGCCGGAGTACCTGCATCTGAGTGCCAGATTATTATGGTGTGGTGGTGATTAAGATTGTTTTGAAGTTAGATGGACCTTGCCCTTTCCAAATGAAAGTTATTATTTCTCCACATTATTAACACAGATAAGTAACAACAATATATTGGGGTGAATATTAATCTTAATGCGTCTTTTCAGGTACATAGGTGAAACATCATAAACCCTAACTGGCTCCTTATCTGAGAGTCTTTACTACAAGAAAGGTTCTCTCCCACACTGATAATGTGGAAGAAAATCAAACCAGTGAGACCATATACGCAAACAAGGCACGCATGGAAGCATCATTGGGCTCCCAATAATCCTTACGAAGGATTACCAAAACCTGCTCCTGCTCCCAAGGTGGCTATGAAACTTGGTATAGATTGTGGTCCACAAAGAGAGAGCTTAACCATGATCCTGCCTTTCAATGACATGCTAAGCCAAACCTTAGCTTAGCCGCTGTTGCACTGTGCTGTGCTAAAAGATCTGGAGGGAGGAAAGCAGGTGCTATAGTTTGGCTTACTGTGATGTGCAAACCAGGTCAGTGAATCATGCCCATCTCATGCACCTCCTGCATTATAATTGGGGGCTAGTCATGTCTCAGTCTCCCTATTGTGGAAAAAGGAAGACTAAAGAACAGTGGGATGAGATGAAACCAACCAAGCTCAAAATCAACTACTTCTCTCCCTCACCCAGAAAGGTTCTCCCAAAGACTAAGCCACAAAATTCAAACCAGACTGTGCCAGAAGCAAGAGTAGAAGCCCAGATTGCCTACATATCAGTTGACTCAAAAGAGTGAGTCCAGCTTGTAATTTCTATGATCAAAAGAATCAGTAGCAAATCACAAGTGGAAAACAGTCTTCTTTGCTTTTTTTCAATTGATCTGCTTTCTCTAACCCTTATCCTTCCTCATCGATTAACTCTGCTGTTTGTTATTTTCACCTACCAAATCATATCTAAAAACCCTTTTATACTGCAAGTGCCCTGCCTTTCTGTTTATCTTGTAAAGCCAGTTGAACACATTAGGTGGTGTATCAATAATAATAATAAAATAACATTAAGCTCAGGAGAACTGATGTGCAACACAACACATGACTTAACATCTCTATATGCTACTTCATTTGGGCCATGTTCTCCCATGACTTCTTCAGGGACAGTCACATCCAAATATGGGAATAATGTCAACAGAAAATAGCACTGAGTTTTTTTTTAAAAAAAATGCATGGTCATTTGTCTTGTTCATAGCAACAGCTGATATTTATATAGCAGTACTTCAAGTATATTTCTCAGGACGTCTTATAAGAGGGAAAGGAAGCCTGTGGCCCTCCAAAAGTCATTGGACTGCATCAGACCTAGCCAGCATGATTATTAGTCAGGGATAGTGGGAGTTCTAGTCCAGAAACATCAGTTGTTTTCCCTGCCATGTCTTACAACAACCCCATAGGGCAGCATTCTCATCTCCATTTGTAGAGGGTGAGCTGACCAGGGCCAGCTCAGAGGGTGAAGCAGCCTTGCTCAAGCAGCGGAATGTGAAGTACCAACAAAGCAGCCTTCTTCAACTTGGTGCTCTCCATAACAATATAAGGAGGCAAATGGTTAATTATTTTGTTTGTGGTTGGATTTGTAGTACCATGAGAAGATGGCACTATTTGGATTGACTGCATTAGGGACACGGTACTTCTGTCTGATAATGCGATAATGAAGAAGCTCATGACTAAGGGAACATCTGAACTGAGGACTTCCTGCTCAGACTCTCAGATGTCCCAGCTCACATGCATTCAGCATCTCATGCCCCATGTGACATACTTCCCTTTCAGCAGGATGGGAGAACCATACCTCTCACCATCTCTTGACCTTTGGCCATGCCAGCTAGGGCTGATGGAACTTTCTTGCACAGTATCTTTCTACACTACAGATGAGGAATGGAGACCCTTTGGCCCTCCAGATGCTTTTGGACTCCCAACTCTCATCAGCCCCAGCTGCAGTGCCAATGAACAAGGTGGATGCGAGTTGTAGCCTAACATCTGGAGGACCACAGATTCCCCATGGCTGCCCTATTGTTTCAGGCAAGGCTTTTTTTCAGGGAGAGCTCAGCTCCAGCACCTCGCAGGTGGGTGCCATTGCCATTCTAACAGAACAAGGCAGAAGCTCATGGCGAGCTCCGGCACCTCTTTTTCTAGAAAAATAGCACTGGTTCAGGTATAATGTGGTCTTCCTTGCGTTTTTGGACAGGGGGTTTCCCTGGTTTCTACAGAAAACTCCTTATTGCAGAACCCTTTCTGCGGGGGGGGGGGGGCTTTTTGCCTTCCCATTCATCTGACGATGGTTCAACCATCTTCGTGGATGTGCAGTGCTTCACTCTACCCTAGTATTTCCAGAAGGGCTGGCCTGTCCATGGACTTCTACTTTTCCTTTTTTGCAAACGTTCTTCCGGACAGACTTCCTCCCCACCCGCCAGGCACCTTCCTTGCCACATTCCCACGATTATACAGTCCTCCATCAGCCAGTTCTCTCCCCGCTTCCAACCTCCTTTCGGGCCAGGACCAGCCTTGGAGCGCCTGCAGACGAGCGTGCCTCTGCCCGCGTGCAAAGCGCCCTCCCCTCAACCGTAAGAGCCCCCCATTAAGTGTCTACAAACAACAGCCTAACGGCCTGAGGGGAGAGAGGAGCATGCGAGGACAAGTTTCGCACACAGCCGGCGCCTCCCTTCCCTCACGGGATTCGGCCCAGCCCGGCCGTCGCCGTCCTGTCGTCCCCCTCACTGCCCCGGGGCTCAGGAGCGACGCTCTCCTCGGAGGCGGCGGGACGGGCTCGCTCCCCGCCCCGGTACCCCCGGTACCTTGGCGAGGTCCTCGAGGTCCTCCCTCTCGAGGCACGTGTAGTTCTCCAGCAGGTCCCACTTCTCACTCAGCAGCCGCCCCGCCATGTCTCTCTCGCGGGGCGACTCGAGCGCCCAGAACGCGGCGCTGCCCAGCAGCAGGTAGCTCAGGTAGGCGAGCAGCAAGAACGGCGTGGCGGGAAGCCGGCGGCCCGAGGACGAGGCGGCTCCCGGCGTCGCCCGGCCGCACCTCCCGCCGCAGCCGCACATCGCCAGCTTCGTGCCTTCACCGGCCCGCGCGCAAGTTAAGTGGGCGGCAGCGGCGCTGGGCCACACTCGGCCAGGCGGGGGAAGCGGCTCCGAGCTACCCTGGCGGCTTCCCCTAAGACGCCGGCGGCTCTCTGATGCTCTGGGAGGAGCCAAGGCAGCGCCTCGCGCTTTTCAAACCGGGCGAGTAGCTCCGCTTCCGTCAGTCGCAGCGCGCTCACTCGCGGAGTTTGGCCCGCGGGAGCGAACTTGGGTCCCTCAAGGTTGGGGCCTGGGGAGGTGTTGGATGCCTCAAACCCTTCAGAAGGGCCGCAGCATCGCCGCCCTCGTTTTAGGCCCGGCGCCCCGCCAGCCCCTGGAAGTAAACGTTGAGAGGGGGAGTGCTGGCCACAGAGTAGCTACTCAAAGGGTAACCCACATTTGGTGCGTCTCAACAGGGGCCGAGAGACCTGCGGCAGCATTAGGTCGCCAGAGATGGGCGGAGCAATTCTAACTAGGTAGATGCACATAAACTGCATCCTAATTGCTTCTGGCCAGAAGGTCAGTGGTCAAAATCGGGGGGAGGGCAGCGAAAACTTGGGTTTTCTGGTCTTCCACGGACTCCTGTGGATTTAGTTACACCTGCATTTGGGGTGGTACAAGTGGGTGGGGCCAGCTAATCAAGGGAGTTTGGGTGCAGCCCCCGCCACGCCCACCACCTTTGGCATAATTTATGACAGCAAGGCTTTCCCTCACCCATAAATAGATCTGCCAGGGCAAGTAATTGCCCTTAAAGTCAGCTCAGCCAGGGGGATGTACACCACATACTTACCTCTCCCAGTCAATGTATCTAGTGAATAGGAGTGTGTTGTTAAAATCTGCGCTCTACACACTGGTTTTGGATCATGCTGCTACAGACTATGACTCCAGCTATAGGGTTTAAAAGTGCTATTTCAGTTCAGGGATGATCCAGTTAATAATAAGTGTCTAGGATCATTCTGGACTAGAGAAATGAGGGATGTTTTTAAGTGTCAAGGAAATAAATATTTTGGGGGGTAATGCAGGGCTACAAAATGACACTGAAGCATATCCATTTTCCTTAACATTCTCTTGCAATATGGGCCATGCAGTATTTATTTTATTTCTTCACTTTCTATCCCACTCTTCATCAGCGTACGATCCATAATAATAATAATAATAATAATAATTTATTATTTATACCCCGCCCATCTGGCTGGGTTTCCCCAGCCACTCTGGGCGGCTTCCAACTGAATATTAAAAACAGTACAGCATCAAACATTAAAAACTTCCCTAAAGAGGGCTGCCTTCAGATGACTTTTAAAAGTAAAATAGTTGTTTATTGCTTTGACATCTGCTGGGAGGGCGTTCCACAGGGCAGGAGCCACTACCGAGAAGTCCCTCTGCCTGGTTCCCTGTAACCTTACTTCTCGCAATGAGGGAACCGCCAGAAGGCCCTCGGCGCTGGATCTCAGTGTCCGGGCTGAACGATGGGGGTGGAGACGCTCCTTCAGGTATACGGGACCGAGGCTGTTTAGGGCTTTAAAGGTCAGCACCAACACTTTGAATTGTGCTCGGAAACGTACTGGGAGCCAATGCAGATCTCTCAGAACTGGTGTTATGTGGTCCCAGCGGCCACTCCCAGTCACCAGTCTAGCGGCTGCATTCTGGATTAATTGCAGTTTCCGGGTCACCTTCAAAGGTAGCCCCACGTAGAGCGCGTTGCAGTAGTCCAAGCGGTAGATAACTAGAGCATGCACCACTCTGGCAAGACAGTCTGCGGGCAGGTAGGGTCTTAGCCTGCGTACCAGGTGGAGCTGGTAAACAGCTGCCCTGGACACAGAATTAACCTGTGCCTCCATGGACAGCTGTGAGTCCAAAATGACTCCCAGGCTGCGCACCTGGTCCTTCAGGGGCACAGTTACCCCATTCAGGACCAGGGAATCCCCCACACCTGCCCGCCCCCTGTCCCCCAAAAACAGTACTTCTGTCTTGTCAGGATTCAGCCTCAATCTGTTAGCCGCCATCCATCCTCCAACAGCCCCCAGGCACTCACACAGGACCTTCACCGCCTTCACTGGTTCTGATTTAAAGGAGAGGTAGAGCTGGGTGTCATCTGCATACTGATGAACACCCAGCCCAAACCCCCTGATGATCTCTCCCAGCGGCTTCATATAGATATTAAAAAGCATGGGGGAGAGGACGGAACCCTGAGGCACCCCACAAGTGAGAGCCCAGGGGTCTGAACACTCATCCCCCACCACCACTTTCTGGACACGGCCCAGGAGAAAGGAGCGGAACCACCGTATAACAGTGCCCCCAGCTCCCAGCCCCTCTAGACTGTCCAGAAGGACATAGGCGCCGACTCCATGGGGCTTGAGGGGGCTCGAGCCCCCTCAAAAAAATTTTTTGGGGGGCTCAGCCCCCCAATAATCTCGGGCGCCGGGGGCGGGGGCTCCTGCCTCGCTGCTTCGCAGCACCACCGCCACTGCCAAGGCACTGCCGGGGGGAATTTCCTTCCTCCTGGCGGTTTCAGCCCCCGCGAGAACAGGGGAATCCCGACTGGCCACACCTCCCAGCCAGCCAATCGGCTGGCTGGGGGGGCGTGGCTTGCCCTATTTAGGGCCGGAGCCACTTTATTTGCATATTCATGAGCTTATTTATTATTCATGAGCTTTCCCGGCCCCCCAATATTTTTTATAAGTCCGCGTCCCTGCAGAAGGATGTTATGGTCGATGGTGTCAAAGGCCGCTGAGAGATCCAGCAGAACTAGGAAACAGCTCTCACCTTTGTCCCTAGCCCGCCGGAGATCATCAACCAGCGCGACCAAGGCAGTTTCAGTCCCATGGTGAGGCCTGAATCCCGATTGGAAGGGATCCAAATGGTCCGCATCCTCCAGGCGTGCTTGGAGTTGTCTGGCAACCACCCGCTCAATCACCTTGCCCAAGAATGGTAAATTTGAGACTGGGCGATAGTTGGCCAAATTGGCTGGTCTAAAGATGTTTTTTTAAGAAGCGGTTTAATGGGCAGGTTACATCATAAAACATATACAACAAATCCAAATACAACAGGATACATTACACTGTGAAAGTAAAACATAACTGGAATTCTTACAAGTAGTCCTACAGTCCTGCCACTACTTCACCAAGTTTACAGCTGACCTCATAACATCAAGCCCTATCCCAAGACCTGGGCAAAAAGGCAAGTCGTTAGCTAGTACCAGAAGGTACACAGTGTCAATGTGAGCTGTACTTTGGAGTGGAGGGTCCCTGCTTTTCCTTATTTTGATTCCTTCTCTTTAAACTGGACTTGGACAGGACATCACTACAAACAGGGGACTCTCCTCTATAAAGCAGGGCAGAAGGCTGCCTTAGGAAACAGGAAAATACCCATCATGCCTAGGGAATTTCAAAGGAGTCCAGCACAAACATGTCAACTAACTTCCCTACTTTCAGTAGAAGACATTCATTTCCTTCCTGCCCTGTTTAAAATGAACGTCAGAAGTGATCTGCTGGATCAAATACCTATTGGGTCCAGCATCCAGTTCTCACAGTGGCCAACCAGATTCCTGGTAATCAGAGGCTTGCTGCCTTCCAATAATGACAATAAAACATAACCATTGTGGCTAGTTTGCCACCGATAGCCTTATTCTCCATGAATTGATCGAATCCTATTTTAAAGCCAACTTGGTGGACATTACTACATCCTTGAAGGAATGAGTTCCATAGTTTAACTATGTGCTGTGTGAACAAGTACTTTCTCTGTCTTAAATTTTCCAGCATTCAGCTTCATTTGCCTTGTAACCTTACCCGCCTTTTCTCCAAACTAAAAAGTCCCAGATGGTATAACTTTTCCACGTAGGGGAGTTGCTCCAACTCCTTGATCACTTTGGTTGCCCTTTTCTGAACTTTAGGAAGAAAAGCTTTGGATTACTGGCTGTGAAGAAAGATGCCTAGAAGAGTATTACCATTCCCTGCAGCACCTTTGTAATGAACGAATGCATAGAATCAGAATCAGAGAATTGTAGAGTTGGAAGGGACCATGAGGGCCATCTAGTCCAACCCCCTGCAATGCAGGAATCTTGTGCCCAGTGTGGGGCTTGAACCCATAACCCTGAGATTAAGAGCCTCGCGCTCTGCTGACTGAGCTACTTATCATCCTCAGCATGTTTTGGACTTCAACTCCCATCAGCCCCAGCCAGCATGGCTAGTGCTCGAGGATCAGGGGAATTGGAGTTCTCAACATCTGGAGGGCACCATATTGGTTTACCCTGAACTAATGTGACTCTGAGAGGATCTTCTTTAATGCATCCTGCTTCACGAAGTGGGGGTACATGCCTGAAATTTTCCACCCACAACAGAAACTGAAGCCATGTAGTGAAGCAGGAGCTGCAGCTGTAATTCAGAATAACATGCTTTAGTGGCCAGCAACCAGACTGATAGTGCAAAGGAATTATCACTGATTGCTGGAACACTAGACCAACACTGTTGCCTCTGAACAGCCCAGAAACAATGAAGAAGGACGTCCAAGGGCCTTTCCAGCTCTGCTTTGCACCCTGTCCTGGATGATGGGAGAAACAGATGTGGTATATAAGCAAGACCATCTGGGTGAAAGGGGCAGCACAGGCCCCCAGTTCCTAACTACTGACATAGGCACATAAAAACATGATTGACGGATACAAGTGTCAGGACCCCCAGAGTCTAGAACCAGTAACTTTGGGATCTCTATGCAGCTTCCCCGTGTGGTAAGCTGGTAAAACATCTTTAGAACAATAGGTTGGAACATCTTCCTGGCAGTGAAGATTCTCATCCAGCTGGGTTAGCTATTGTGTACTCCTAGTCAGGAAGAGCTATAAAAGAGTTACCGTCTAGAAAGAGGCCTTCCTTAGACAACAAGGTTTTCCTGGCTCTGGTATTCTTTGCTTTTTTCAATTGATCTGCTTTCTGTAACCCTTATCTTTTTTCATTGATTAACTCTGTACATTTACAATACTGTTTTTGACTGCTGTTCATATTTCTAATTCTACTTGGAAATTCATTCGTTTATTGTATCTCTTTAAATAATTCCAAAAAATCCCCACTCTTCCCATATCTTTCTCTCATCTTGGACTCTTATCTTTGCTGTCCTAGTTGCAAGTTCCGCATATTCAATATATTGCCATTCTTCTTTTGTTGGAGTTTTTTTTGTCCTTCCATTTTTTAGCATATAATATCCTAACCACTGTAGTTGCATAGAGGAAGAGGCTACATTTCTTTTTAGGGATATCTCCATTAGTTATGCTTAGTAAAAAAAAGCCTCTTTCTTTCTTTCTTTCTTTCTTTCTTTCTTTCTTTCTTTCTTTTTCTTTCTTTCTTTTTGAAAAGTCAACCTTAGCATCTTTTTGAATTCTGTGTAGATCATTTCCCAATACCATTTAGCCTGTTTACAGGACCGCCACATATGCATGAAGGTCCCTTCTACCTCCTGGCATTTCCAACATAATTTGGATCCCTTTTCAATAATTTACTAGGAGTTAAATACCACCTATAAATCAGTTTGTTCCCCTTTAGGGCATAGCATGCCAAGAAGTTCAGTGTTGATTTCCATAGCCTCTCCTACGCTTCCATTTCTATATTATGGCCAATGTCTATTGCCCAATGTGTCATAGTCACCTTTATAATCTCATCCTTTGTCTCTCATTCTAGCAGTATTTTATAAATTTTTGAAATAATTTTTTCGTTGCTTCCAATTATCACTTATGGATCAGTAGCAGGTTAGAGAACAAGAAGCAGAGAGTGGGAAGGTGAGTTCTTTCATTAAACTTGTTTGTAAATGGTCTGGAGTGAGCAGTGAGGGAGCCAAGTTTGCAGATGACACCGAATTATTATGGATGACCTTTCTGAAGTCTTAACCCATGTATGGCATCATGTATTATCTATTATCAATTGCCATTTATCATTGTTGTTGTTGAATTTATGCCCCTTCTTTTCTTCTGATAGAGTCCAGGGCAGCAAACACATCCACAATACCTACCTTATTTGATGTGGAAACCATGTATAGTTTATTGCTTCTCTTTTATAAAATCCAAAAATAATAAAAAGTGTATTGGCTAGCCCCCACTCTCAAACAAGAGAGTTCAGATCTTGTGGTAAAGGTGAATCCATTTGCCAGTTTCAAGAAAGATTATGAATGGATTTTTCAAGGGGCTTGCCATTTCTCCACAAAGAAGTGATATATAACAAATGACCAGTTGGAGAGTAATATTCTACACACTGTTGAACCCTGCAACATGTAATCTTCTGTGTGCTTAGAACATTATGATCCAGGAGATGGAAAAAAAGTGTGTGGATTGCTATATTTTGTGTCAGACAAATGAAGCTGGTATGATACTGAATGGCTGGTGTTGAGGCACAGAATTGGAGGTTATGTGAGCCTTATATCCCTAAACTTCTTATCTTGAAATAGACAACTTTGAGGACAATTGTTATCTCCAAGAATAAAATCTGACACATGCAGTTCAATTTTACTGTTTGCTGATTGTGGCTTAGCCTCTAGTGGTGTCCAAACTTTTTTCAAAGAGGGCCAGATTTGATGAAGTGAAGAGTGAAGGGCCGACCAAAATTGTTAACCTTTTTTTAGGATTGAAGTTGATTAGGCTCCTGAAATGGACTTTGGACATGCCTGGACTAGCTAACCTTTTGGAGGCTCAGTTTTGTGCAATTTTAATGGGGATAATTTTACTATCAGCATTTTTTTATGGAAAAGGTCCTGAGGAAAGTGCAGGTATTCAGTTACAAATGGAAACTTTCCCCATCTCGACTGGTTCTATCAAGGCTTTATAAGGAAGAGAAGGCTGATTGACAGTCTAAGGAGTGATTGCCAGAGCTACCATTTAAAAAGGGAATAGGGGTCACCTAACAACTTTCAACAGTTGGTACCTGATGTTGCTGAGAGGTGCTTGAAAACAGATGAAGGAATTCTACCCTGTTAGTTTAACTGCATTTGGTACATAAGGAAACAGTGGTTTAGGCTGATATTTGCAGAGCTCCTGACAGTCGGCTCAATCTGTCCAGAAGATCCAATGGGGTTGGTAGTACACAGAAGATCATCTTCATTCAATAGCTTTCTTTGTCAGGGTTTTGTCTTGCTGATCAATGTGGACATGCATGCAGCCACTTGGCAGAAGTATGCAGAATGTAGCACACAGGTTATTCCCTCTCCCATCAGCAGAAGTAGGGACAGGAGGAAGCATGTCTTTCACATTTTATTTGCCCTCATGGTTCACTGCTGAATGTAGAAATCTATTTCCCACTCATTTGTTTTAGCCACTGGCCTTTCTATGTGCTAAGCAAAAGTTTAACCTTTCACACATTACTGCTATCCAGTAGTCACCTAGCTCAATCCACACTTACCAGAAGATCAGGAGGAAGGAAATCTATTGAATGCTGGCTGGCCTAGCATGACTTGACATCTAGAATCTTGATCTCTCTTCCCACTAGGGGAGAAGACGTCCATTGTAGGCTTAAGGAATCCTAAATTGATAGTGTAGATTTCTGGGGATCATAGGACATAAACCTACAAATACCCTCAAATTTGTAGCAATGGCAGTGGATAAAATAAGTTGGTTTACCTTTCTCTGTCTCTGGTAATGGAAGAAGGGGAGGGAACAATTTCCGTTGGCAGTCTGGAAACCTGAGACCAGAACCTGTCCCAAACTTAGCATGTGGAACTGAGAACATCTAAATCTTGTTCTATCCACAAAGATCAGAACCACTTGAGAGATTTCAGATTACAGTTTGCTTAAGGAAAACACAAAAGCAGATAGCAGTGACTCACTCCCTTGTTTCTCTTGATATCAGTTTTGGAGGAAAAATGAATCTCTACAAATGGTGTGTTGCAACCTTGGTAGTGCCAGCTGGTTTGCTCCTGCTGGAAACAGTGGTATCCATCAGCCCAAATGCTGAATTGAATTAAACAAGATGATGTGGTATAATGGTAGACTGTATATTTGCGGAAGGAATCAGATGTGTGGAAAACATGTGGCATTGACACTTTCAGTTCATTTTCCTCCAAAGGATTCATTGGGCTGTTTGTTGTACATATTGTCAAAGGGTTTCGTCTGTTTCCAAAAAATCTCCTTTCCCTTATGAAGTGACCCACTCATTATGTACAGTATTTGATGCAAGATGTCTTGCCCACAAACATCGCTTTGTAAGCATAAGGGAAAGGACAGAGACTTGTTGGTTTTTTGTGTTGCTTATCCATTAGTCACTCTCAGCTAGGGATATGGATCCTGGGTTGATCAGGGTTATCCTCTAATTTGGTGACAGCTGTCTCTGCAGTGCCTGGGCCAGACTTCTGCCAATTAAGCTGTAGGAATTTCTCCATCAGGTCAGCTCCCAGATTAAAGATCAGAGCGAGCCAGACTAAGCCAAAAATAATCCAGATTGCTGCCAGGCTTCTGTACACTGATATATAATGCTTATTAGGATCTGTGCCTAGAAAGAAAGAAAAAACCAAGAAAACCCACAAGTAAGATTTGGTTTCTCTACAACTGGGAGGAATATATGCCAACACAATGAACACCATGCACACATACACAACTCATATGCACATGTGTACAAAACCATGCAAGATTGTTCACTGGCATTCCACCTGTGTGCATTTGTCCACAGATTAGAAGTGATGTGATATTTTCCTGGATACGCATTATGAGTTGCATGCCTAGGATAGGTTTGGTTTTTCTGCCTTTACAGTGTGGTCTGTTGGATTATGCCCATTCTTACTTTCCCTAGGTTTACAACTTTCCCATACTGTTACTCACGAATCCCAATGTTGCCACCAGCTCTACTGTTAGCATGAACGAGATCTACATGAAACTATCCTTACCATAGCCACCAGATCATTGTCCTTGAACTTTGCTACTCTGATGACAGCAACATAGGAAAAATTTATAGAGGGCTAGCTATGTTAGTTGCTTGCAGCTAAAACAATTAGTCTTGCTGTGGCACTTTAAAGACTAACGCATTTAATAACGGCATAAGCTTTCATCGGTTCAAGCCCAGTTCATCAGCTGCATGAAAGTAAAATCATAGTTGGCAGCTATATAAAGGAGGACATTATACAATCGGAGTTCAGTGGCAATGGGATGCAAAAAGTTACAGTCAGAGATAAGTAGAGCTTGACTGTAAATTAAGTAGGCAAACTTTTACCCTTAGTGGTAAGTGCTGAAATCATTGCATTAACACCAATAGTGGGGCAGGTCAGAGAACATTCTGAACATTTCCAGAACACCCTGTAAATGACCTTAAGGTTGTCATTCTGGAACCAAGGAACTTCAAAGGAAGAGTACAGCATAAAACAACCAAATTACAATTCATCAAGAATTCCAGTGCTTTGTGGGTTAAAGTGTGACGAAGGATTTTTAAAATCATGGTGCATACACTAATTAGCTGTCTAATGCCAGAATATCTGTGTTCATCTAGTCCAAGGGTAGGCAAACTAAGGCCCAGGGGCTGGATCCGGCCCAATCGCCTTCTAAATCCGGACCGTGGATGGTCTGGGAATCAGCGTGTTTTTACATGAGTAGAATGTGTCCTTTTAGTTAAAATGCATCTCTGGGTTATTTGTGGGGCATAGGAATTCTTTCTCTTCCCCCCACAAAAAAATATAGCCTGGCCGCCCCCCCCCAAGGTCTAAGGGACAGTGGACCAGCCCCCTGCTGAAAAAGTTTGCTGACCGCTGATCTAGTCCAACATTATCTGCTCCAATTGGCAATAGTTCTACAGAGTGTAAGGCAGAAAGGTGCTTTTCTTATCGCTGCTACCTAATTCTTCTAACAGGAGTTTCTGGGGTGGGGCATGGGGGAGGATTGAAACTGGGACCTTCTGCAAGCAAAGCATATGTGCTACCACTGAGCTGTGTCCTCTTCCCTGACAGGCCAAGAGAAAACAATTTGGGATACACATGACCTCAACTTAGTCCTGTAAGTTGATTTAGGAAAAGCACATGAGTCTGCAAGAAAGTTTCACATGTTGTTGGCTCTGCATGAATGCAAACCAGAGATGCAGGAAGTGGTACTTGAGGGGGAAAGAGGAACCAAAGAGTTAGGGTGAAATAAGCTTCCCTATGCATGGAGGGTTTTTTGTGTGTGTGTCTATAAATAAATAGAACACACTGCAGTTTCTTACTGCACAAATCAATGGCAATCTCAAGGAATCCTTTTCTTCCAAAGCAAATACAATGAAGAACAAGGAACAAACATTTATGTCTGTTTCCAAAAAGAAGACCACGTAATGTTGTCAGCTCCTATAGCAGTCTATGAACACAGATTTAAAAGTAAAACAAACAGAACAAACAAAAACACCACCATAGGCATTTCCCATGTTATGAATAGTGTGTTAAGTCATCTTGACTGTGCCATTTTGCAGCACATGGTTCTTCGGCAACATGTTTTTGTGTAGCTTGGCACCAAACACACAATATTTTTTGGATGAAGGAACAGCAATTTTTTTGCATGATTTGTGAAGCCTGGCTGAGCATATTTCAGGTTCTATGTGTATATACGAAAATCCCCCCAACCCCCCCATCTATATATGCCTTGTGTAAATGTAGGATTGTCACCATTGTGCTCAGCTTATAAGTTTTCCAGAAGCATCTGGCTGGTGAATGTTACAGATGGAATGCTGGACCAGATGGACCTGATTGGTCTGATCCAGCAAGACACTTCTAATTCCAGTTACTCCTTTCAGGATTGGAGGACTGAATGGGAGAAATAACAATAACAGAAGGGGAAAGGGAGCACTCTTCTGTCAGTCCTGTGTTGCTTAGTGTGGAACTGTTCCTATCACTATAAATGAGGAGACTCACTCATGGCCACAGTAAACAAGCAGGGCTGGCTCAAGACATTTTGCTGTCTGAAGTGAACAAGAAGATGGGGCCCTTCCCCAGAGCACTTGAGGGCAGCAAGCTAGTGTAGCGGATGCAGTCAAATCCCTGGTCACTCCTCCTACCTCAACATCTGCCACCTGAGGCAGTTGCCTCACTCTGCCTCATTGTAGGGCCAGCCCTGATCACAAGCAAATGGCCATTGCTATTAGTTCACTTTGTCATTGGTGTGATACTTAAGTTGGTTGGAGTGCATGTGATTTAAGTAAGAGCATGTTTTCAACCAATGTCTTTTCCTCCTTGAAAGTATAACTCCTTAGTTCTTAATAGAGCTGGTTAAGCATTGTTTAGTGAATGAATGCATGAATGAATCAATTTTGGCACTTATTTGCAGCCTCAGCAGAGAAGTCATGAATAATCTAGATGTTACATGCGCTGATTGCAGTGTGATCACATTCCTGGATTTCATTAGAGTTCCTCCTGATCAAAGTTAATTGGGAGAGGAGGACGATCTCAGGGGCAGAATATGTCACCACCACCACCCTTTCTATTACCTACTACATAGTCTCCAAATCCAATGGTGCTGAGGGTGATGAAGGTGAAGTAGAAGCCTTCTCCATAACTCCAGCCTTCCACGTAACTGAAGATCATGGGTGGGAAAACCAGAAAAAGCAAAGTTCCAACCATCAGGAAGAATCCCATTGTCAGAGTCTGAACCACCTAAGAAACATGAGAAGGGAAATGACAGTTTAGAAGAACTATGCTTCTGCCTGGCATGACTTGGTCTGGTTGGTCTGAGTGCTTTCAGATCTGCTACCTAAAGGCAGTTTCATACCGTTTCATACTGTTTTATAGCCCCCCAGTGGAGCTTTTAAAAACCTCTTCCATGGAGCAAAGATCCATGTAAATCAGAAGTGGGGAACCTTTTCTGGCTGGTAGGCCAGATCCTTATCCCATCTGTCAATCATCTGTTGTCACTATGATGTCAGGTGACCTTATACAGTGGTACCTTGGGTTACAGACGCTTCAGGTTACAGATGCTTCAGGTTACAGACTCCGCTAACCCAGAAATAATACCTCAGGTTAAGAACTTTGCTTCAGGATGAGAACAGAAATTGTGCTCCGGCGGCGTGGCAGCAGCAGGAGGCCCCATTAGCTAAAGTGGTACCTCAGGTTAAGAACAGTTTCAGGTTAAGAACGGACCTCCAGAACGAATTAACCTGAGGTACCACTGTACTTTGAAGCCTCTGTTTTCAGGACTACGAAGTACAGTGCAGGTTGTTTGAAAGGCCTTTTGCAAGCAGCCCCATACTGCTCTTTAAACTCCCTAAAACTGGAGGTTCAAATAGTATCACAGGGCCACTTCCCAATGGGCTTTCAAACAACCTCACACTGCTCTTTGAACCTCCATATTTGAGAGGTTCAAAGAGCAGTGTGGGGCTGTTTGAAAACCCCTTTGAGAGCAGCATAGAACTGTTTACAAAAGGGCTTTCAAACAGCCCCATGCTGTTCACCGAGCCTCCTTTTTTTTGCAAGTTCAAGGAACAGAGCTGAAGGGAAAAGTGGTTTTCAGTCAATGGAAGCCATTTTCCTCTCCTGGAATGCACTCCCTCTGGAGAACACCCTGCTCCAGCAGAGGAACAACTGGGAACTCACTTTAAGCTCCCAATTGTTCCTTTGAAGCCCTGCCCTTACCTGACATCATATATGTATGTCAGGTGCAGGGTGGGTGGGTGTAGTTTGCCCAGAACCACTTCTCAGAACAAATGGGAAAGCCTGGCAGGCCAAGTTTGGACCATGGGTCAGAGGCTCCCCTCCCCAGATGTAAATGATGGTGGTCCTTAGCCTCTTAACCATGTATTCCGGAGACTGACTTTTACACAGACAAAAAGTAGGAAAAGATAGAATTTGTGTCCCTTTCCATGTCTAGACAGGAGTATCCCCCCTCCAAGCTCACAAAGGCTAGAGAAGTTAAATCAACTAGCATTAATTAATGCCTCCTCCACAACTCATGCCAAGCATTCTATAAATATTTCTCGAACCATGACTTGGTCTGTTTTCTTCTTCCTGCCGTGCAGGCTGAAGTCCTTTAGCTAATGGGAAGACTTCATTGGATGCAACCTTGATCACATATTAAAACAACAGGGAATGGGCTTGTTAAAAAAGAAACAGAAGGCAAGGGGCTGGTAAGGTGAGGAGTGGGAGTCAAGAACAGATGAAGACAGATTCTTGGCAATAGACAATTGGTGGTGCAGAACAGGGATCCAAGACTGACCCCAGAAAACATTTTATGGAGTTAGGAAACCGTTAATTAGGAATGCAGTGGACAGGACTGCTGATACAACTAGCCACAAGAACTTTCATATGCAGGTTTTTTTCTGCAAAAGAGGCAAAGTTTATGGACTAGGAGGCAACTAGAGAATTTCTCTTGGGGCCACAGACCATCTGGAATCATTTGTTATTATTCATATGAGGGATCCTTTACATTTACAGGACTGCCTGAACTGCATTTGCTGAAATGGCATCTGACACATTCTTTCTATGGTGGTTTACAGAAATAGGTTCTGGTAAATGAGAAAATGACACAGAACAGAGAACTGACTTGATAGCAGCCATGGGTGTTTGCAATCAAGCAACTTGTATCTGTTCAATTTAAAGCTTTCTTCTTCTTTTTTTGGAAATTCAAGTACATCCCTGTCCTGAAGTCCTGAGTCAGCCAATTACTGTCACAGGAGAGGAAGCAACATCTGTATGAGTTATAATGAGTCTAAGGCACCCCTGCCTGTCCTAAAATGATACATGAAAGTCACCTTTGAAAAGCAAGGAAAGGGTATCAGTGTTGAACAAGCATCTGTACCTGAGCTCGGCCTGGCTTGTGGACCCATCTCTCTAAGTTGATCAGGTGAATGGTGAGCCCTTTCCCCAGCTGATTGAGAAATGCCAGATTAAGGGGCACTCCAAACAAGGCATAGAACACACAGAAGACCTGCCCTGGGACTGTGCTGGGGGCCAAATTCCCATAACCTGAAAGAAAAGCAAAAAGAATTGAAAATAGTCACACTCACTTAATAGGGCTCAGCATTTGCTTTGACCACATTGGACGTGGAATAGTCATCTATATTGGGTGACTAATCCCAAGTTCCAGATGAAGTTACAGACTCCCTGCACCCCATTTATTTGAAGCACATTTGTCACTATCTTGTTGGGGAAAAGTGGGCAGCATGTAGCTGTCTACTCAGAAGCGCACTCTGTTGAATTCTATGGGACTTATTCCTTGGTGGGTGAGGGTAGAAATGCTACAGAGCATTGGCTGGTTCATGCTGTATATTTACAAAGCAGACACTTTCAGACTTCCATGAGTATGCAATAGTGGCAGCTAGTCCATTAGGGCCCCACCAATCTCACTCAAACCCCACCTGCCTGCCTTTTTACTGGGGATGACCCTTCTCATCAGTTCCTCTTCCTTAGTTTCAGTGTTGCCCTCAACAGGGAAGAGGTTGGAGACAAAACTAGAATGAGTTGGCTCTGCCTGTCATCGGTTGTGGCTCCACCTACTGTTGGTCTCCATGGCTACTGCCTACCAGTTCTGATTGGCACTAGTTACTGCTGGAATGCACGTCATAGACTTCAACACATGCAAAACTGACTACACACACACACACTCCATCCTACAGGACCAGAAAATTAGTCATGGAAAACGTACGCATAAAAATAGGCGTTGGCTGAATATATGGCTTTTTAAATACATCTTTCAACGCCAGAGACCCTTCTGACACAGGTTTGCCAGGTTCACTTTGTACCATCAGTCACAGATGATTCAGTACTTCACTGAAAACCTTGCAGAACTCCAACAAGGAAAGATTTATCGGGGGGAACCTCCCGCAAAACACCCAGCTCACCTTACCTACGGTGGTGACCACCGTTCCAGCAAAGAAGAAGCTGTTGCTGAAGTCCCAGTTGCTGGGGTTGGTGGAGTTCCCTTCAGGGTTGACACCTTTCTCCCAGGCTTCCATAATGACCTGAAGTGGGATCATTTACAGGGGGAGGAATAGAAGAATGTTGTCACATCATGAACTGGGAGAGTCTCACCAGCCAGAGAGTAAAGCACAGGTTCAGTCTGTCAACAGCTGCTTTTGTAGCAGGGCTGAAAAGGACAACGGTCAATGAGCCAAAGTAAGCAGCACTTCTTGATACACCAACATACTCACATAGCTTCATAAAGTGGCTCTGAATATGCAAAAAAATCATAAAATGGTTTCCTGGCAAGGATTTCTTGGTTAACGCTGAAACTGTCTGGACTGTAGATATGCTTTTGCATTGCTCCTGCACTCTGTGATCAACACTGTGATCTGAGCGGGCTAATGGAAGGGGCATCTGCTCTGGGCCAAAGTGTATTAGGGAAAAGAAGGGGAGACATACCTGTTAAATACATAGTGTCAGCTGTGTTCTAACTACCTGGTTGCTGAAGTCCCAGACATTGTCCTTGACATGACTGCTCCCTGCTGTGCCTGTTTCACTCTAAGGCAGAGAGGAGGAACCTGTGACCTTCCAGCTGCTGCATTACAACTGCCATCCAACTTGAGCATTGGCCATGTTGGCTGAGGCTGGTGAGAGCTAGAGTCTCATAGCAACTGGAGAGCCACAGTTGGGGATGAGCAAATGCCTCAATTTTGGGTTCCCTCAATTTCTTACCCCACCCCACCCCAATTTAATCAGGGCTGGGCTGTGACCCTCCAGATGTTGTTGGACTCCCACCATCCCTCACCATGGGCCATGCTGGCAGAGGCTGATGGGAGTTGGAATCCAGCTGCATCTGGAGGGCCACAGGTTCCCTAGTCCTGTGTTAAAGGTCTTACGCTACCAGGGGCATAGCCAGGATTTATGTTGGTGGGGGCAGAAACAGAAGTATTTTTTATTGATTTACTTGATTTGGGGGAAGCAGCTGCCTCCCTGCTCCCCCTTTGGCTATGCCCATGTACGCTACTATTTGTGATTAAACACTCCAATGCTGTGTTTGGGGTGAGCCAAATCTGCCATTGGCTGTGGCCCAAGAAAATGCCTAACCTTATGAAACCAGCTTCATGTGCCACAGAAATCAGAAAAGCGTCAGCAGAGAAACCCAGCAGATAGATGCAGATGCTGAGAAGTTCATCCTTGCAGGCTCAAGGATGCTGAGTGATGGTTTAGCATGAAGCATCACATCAAAAAGTGTGCTAAGATTACAATAGTATGAAGCCAAGGGTGGTGATAAGGATTCCTATTTACTGAATAAGGTCGTGGATGATTTATTTTGACGAGAGATATTTAAAAGCTGTTGTGTTGTGTAGCTGAAATGTTGGTGCCCTCTAGTGGTTTTGTTTGTATTACTGCTGTAATCCTTGTGGCATCCTACATCAAAAAAGTTTCCTTTTAATGAAAGCACTTATGCACATGTCATGGCTTTTCTGAACTTCTGCTTATATAACAGAGGAGAAAATGCTCAGCTCCCCCCTCCTCAAATGACCTGCATTGTTTGCCTTTGGACAGCAATGCACAGGGGTCTTCTATTTAAAACGTCGTGCCAGAGAAAATGTTAAAACAAAATAGCAATTTGTGTATGTTATGAAGCACCCCTAAGCATACACAGCTTTGCTGTGATAGCCTGCACCTCAGATGGAAGTGTTAATTATGGCATTACAGAAAGCCAGGCTCACATGTCCAAGCAGCTGAGTTGCAAAGAGCATCTGGTAAATATTTATTACCTGCCCTTCACCCCAAGGTTCCAGGGTGGGTGACAACATTAAATACATTTCATAGAATCAGAGAACTGTCCAACCCCTTGCAATGCTGTAATAACAGCTAAAGAATCTCTGACAGATGAACACCCAACCTCTGTTTAACAAAAACCCAATCAATGGGAATCCATCACTCTCTGAAGTAGTCTAAGCTCTTGCTGTCAGAAATGTGTAAATTTAAAAGTAAAAGGACATCAGACTCTTCCTGGAGGTATATAACCAAGATAGTGTCCCCTACGTGTCATTCCCTCTAGCCACCACCTGCTCCCCCCACACAATCACTAATCAATAAGTTTTGATAGCCTGAGGATCTTGCCAGCAGAGCCCAGAACATATGTTACTCCTTTTCCTCATTTCATATAGACAGCAGAATAATATTTTCCCAGAAGGCATTTTGCAATTCTTTAGACAAACTCTTCCCAGCTGGCACCATTCAAAAGCTTCTTAAACCTATTCACTGTCAGGAAGGCGGGATTTACAGTCTTTGTTTCTATGTTAATTTCTGAAGCCCAGCTCAAGCCTAAGAGGGAATGCTGTTCATAATAGTGGCTAGGAATCTCTGGCTGATCAAGAGGATTCGTCTGTCTCTGCACAAGAACATTTCTTGTGGACCCCTTCCCAACTCATCTTCTCTCTTAGGCTTTCTATCGCTCCTGCACTGAAGAGACCTCCATCAACCCCTATGGACTCACAGAATAAGAATAAGGCATTCAACTCTCTCTCTCAAGCCCATCAGCTGGCCAAAGCCCCCTCTCCTTCTACCTCTTCGGCTTTGAAGCCCCCTTTCTTGGGGAGAACTGCTCTCTTTTTTCTCCTTGCTGTGCTATTTCTTCCTCCTTAGTTAGGTCACCCCAGAATCTCAGATTCCCCTATTTTCACTACTCTCAGCTATTGCCCCAAAGTCTCCCACTTCCCCCAAAGCCCCAATTTCCAGTCCTCCCTTATTATTCAGAAAACCTCCACTTCTCATTCTACAACCAAGGAGCTCGGCTCAGCATCCTCTGGCATAACTTTCATCCCTTCAGCTCAGCCCCCCCCCCAATTTATCTAGTCCCACCAAACTCTGGAGTGCATCCAGGTTTCAGTGACACAAGAGCCCTAAAACTCAGTGTCAGGATTTCATGTGAGAATTGCAGGCATGCATGTAAACTGTTACTCATCATAACCATTATTATGCCCAATGCAAAACCACTGGTTTCAAATGGGAGCACAGCTAAATGACAGAAAACTCATTTAAACATTTCAAGTAGTGAAATAAAAGCTTGTTTTCTCAGAAACAGGATCTCAAAATTCATGGCAGAATTGAGATTTTTAAATTAAACATAGGATTAAATTTCCCATTGTTCCTTAGCAACTGTATCTACATTTACTATTTAATATGCAGCCCTTTAAATCTAGAGAACTATTCTGCCTGGTTTTGAGAACTCATTCAATATCTGTCAGTAATGAACTGGAAAGCCAGGTGTCAGTGGATGTGCACTGCATGGTTTCCTCAACTCCATATACTTAACATCCTTAGTTTTATCTTAACAAAGGAAATATATTTCTCATTAAATCTTCTTGCATGAACAGAAATGGGTAAATGATTTGGGGATATAGTTGCTCAAGTGTTTGTGGCAAAAAGCAACAATATAAGCAATAGTAATAGCAACAGCAACAAATAATTCAGATGATGAATGCAGAACCTATTTGGGTACAGATTTATGTGCATTTGGGTCTGTTCACAAGTTCCATGTCCACAGAAAGTTTCAGAGGGAGGGACATCACCCTTGTGGCCACACAGCCACACTCCACAGAGCAATCCACTCTGGGTGGGGCAGGGGGAGTGGGAAAGAGTAAAGAATAACATTTCCCTATTCAAAAACTACTGGAAAGTTAAGAAACAACAATATTCACCCACTGAAGGTGCAGCCTTGAAGGGAAGACATGCAGGAAACCAGAAACACATGTGCATTTAAAAACTCATTAAAACAGATTGTGGAAGGAAGCCTTTGGTCATATTAAAACACACATACATATACTCCACTGTAAAACCTTATTCATGGGATGAAAAGGGGAGACTGGAACAGTAGTATAATTTCAAACTCAATATTAGCTGCACTGCTAAATTTTGAAAAGGGGTTAGGGATCAGAGAGAAAATTCAAGAAAATCAAAATGGCTGCTGCATACATGGGTGTTTCCACAGCACTGATTTCTCCTGATCATATTATCTCTTCTGGGCATTCTCTGCTGGTTGTTGTCCATTTTCAGTTCCTACGGGCACAGATCCTCTCTGGAACCATAGTATCGGAAGTTGCGGAAGACCCAAATCCCAACCTCTAATCCTATGCCAGGATTTCCTGCACACCAGCCACCCACCCCACCATTAAAGTTACATGATGCAAAGATGACCATAAAGTTGGGTTCCTTGGGATTGCTCTCCTTACCTGCACAAACTGCTCCAGGGCTTGTCGATCCAAGCATGTGTAGTTCTGCAGGAACTTGAGTTTCTCCATTTGGAACTGGTCCCGAGTCTTGGCTTCTGCCTGCTTTTCCAGCAGCTGAAACACCAAGGCCCCCAGGAGGAGGTAGAAGAGGTACCCCAGCACCAGGGGCAGAGTCCAGCTGAGCTGCCGGTTGCACACTGTGAGGTAGGGCATGACTGTGGTTGGGAAGGCAGAGGCGACCTAGTTGAGTGGAGCACTCACTGGGTTAATGTTCCTGTTCCAAGAGGCACGGAAGAATCGCACGGCTGTATTCTCGGCTCACGCTGCTGAGATTCTGTTTAAACAGCTTTATGAGCATCAGGTCTGGATAACATGAGACTAATGCAAACAGATTTCACACACCCCTTTATCTTTCCTTCAGCTGGGAGCAGCACACTTACGGCTAAAGACTACTGTAGCCGTCTGTCCTATGAAGACGTTCACATAGTTTTAGGGAATAGTGAGTGTAAGGTGGCTCTGCTCTCGAAACTGATATCTTAATTTCCTGGATGGGCTAATAGTGATAAAAAGTTACTGATCAACTGTGGCTCATGTTGGTGGAAGGGCCAGTGGGAAAGTGGGCCAGCTGTGATGCTCACAGCACTTTGCTGTAACTGCTAGACAACAGTACAAGGATATGTTACTTGAGGAAAGATGTCCTGAAGAAAAGGGAAAACCCAATGACCCCAAAAGGCTGCTAACTGTTGGTTGTAATATAGGGAGAATGCCACATTTGTCTGCCTTATTAATTGCAAACTAGACTCTCATCCTTGGCATAACAAGTTGGCCTCCCAGCTTTTCAGCTGTATTCTGTGTTGCTAATGTTTGTGCATGACTGAATCTCTCATCGTTGCTGCTTCCCATCTCTAGGTTGCCCTTTTCAGTCTAAGGTATGTGTGGGAAGCTGGCCAAAGGTTAATTTCTTTACCTCAGATGGTCCCACAGATTTGCCTGGAAGGAAGCAATGGTTTTGTGGACAGAAAGCGGCAGAGAACCTCCAAGGTTAGTCAGAAATTGTCTTGGGTGCACATGGAAGATCCTTGACCAAAAAACCAGTCCCTGGTTCCCTTTTTAAAAAGCAATTCCCTATTTTGCGTTTAGGGCGCATGGTTTTTGTTAACCAGAAGAGCACCACTTGCAAAGAAAGCATCACACTGATGATCTTCAGCTAGGGCTCCTATTTATTTGCTCACTTTGATATCTTGCTTTCCATTTGTCATGGAATCCAAGGTAATGCAGATACAATCCCCAGGAGGCCACTAACAATATCCAGACTTCCTTAGCTTCAGAAAAGTGGTGGGCTCACATGTCTTTGGACCACACTCTGCTCTGTGCTAGTGCACATCCTTTACATTCAGGTCTCATTCTCTCTGTTTTACCTCCAGCTGAAAGATCTCAGGTAGGTGAATTAAAAACCTCTACACCACCCAATATCTTGGGAGAGGTAGTATGAAATTTAATAAATAAAAAAGTATTTTACTTATTTATTTTACATTTTATTTAGTTTAAATTTGTCAACTGCCTAAAGGACATGGCTAACTGTGTGGTATATAATTGCCAAAAATAAATATGTAACCAAATGGAGGGTGGCGATTCAGGAGAATGGGTGGCACCAGCAATATCTTGTTTAGGAGAAAACCTGGTTTCTGGGATTTTGCCTGGCTTTTGAAACAAGTGAAAACTTCCCCTGAATTTAGCGCCGTGTTTGGATGCTGCAGTACTGGAGATTTTTATAGCTAAAACCAATGACAGCTTGTTGATATGGAAACAAATCAATTTGTTAGGTGAAATGTAATGATTTCTAATGACTTTTGACATGATTATTGCCTCTAATGGCAGGAATCATGTTGAAAGCATGTTAAAATAGCAGGCACCACAGATCAATTAATGGAAAATAAATTGTACTGCACAGTGGTTGTTTTTTTAAACAAAGCTCCTGGATAAGATACATCCTGAGATGGGTTAATAATCAGGTTTCAGTAGAAAGAAGTATTTATTTTTGAAGAATCAATTGTCCATGCAAGACAGATGAGCATCCCAGCTGAGTGGCCTGAAAGGAAAATGAATTGGCTAACTCAAACTACATTTATTTAACAAAGACATTTTATTTTCTGAGATCTACAGATCAGTGACATGGACAGTGCATTCAGAAGCCTAATCTAATACAAGCCAGACACCATCATACCCTCCCAGAATGGAAAATGCTATAGGGCACAATCCTCCAGAATGTTTGCTTGTTTCTTTAAAAGACCAAATGCTTTTATATTTATGTGTCCTTATTTACATAATTTAGGTCCCCCCCCTTATGTGAACAAGAGTATGGCAATGTGTTATATTTTCAGGCTTCACAGTAACTGTTAATTTTTAGTCTGATAAACAACAGGGCTTCTTGAAGGGAGTGTTATTTAAACGCTTGCTAAATATTGAGAATCATTCCTGGCTGCTGTGCGTATGCCTCTAGTGCCCAAATGTGTCCTCAGTGATGTGCTCCTGGGCCTCAATGGCATGCAAAGCCTGGCCCTGGTGTGGTGGTGAATCCTTCTCAGTGACCAGAGGGACCTCAGGAGACCCTTTTCTGCCCCTGCTGGCCAGACGCCGGTGGGTCATATGAAGCTTCATACACCATGACAATCTGGGCTGCCTTCTCAGGAGTCCTGGCCACAGCCACCTCAGGGTGGTGGGGGTACCAGAAGAGAGTCACCAAATATCTCTAGCACTCGTCTTCACTTGGCTGGTGGAAGAAAGCTCCAGAAGACTTGCCCACTGCATTGGCTTGAAAGTTTATAAATTATCTTAATAAATCGGCTTCAGTAGTCTAGCAGTATGTAATTGTGTTCATTTACTACCCTTCTTTGGCTTCCCTTCTGTGATAAAGAATCATAAGGCTGGAGGGGTGATTATTACTCCTGGTAATCTTTGCTCATCAGAGTCTTCTTCTCACCCAGGGATTCTCTGCAAACAAAGCAGGTGGAGTCAGAGTAATTTGCCCTGCCTGGAACCGATAAATAGTATTTACTATATTGGCAAGTTTACACAGCCATTGGTTTAATATCACCCTGGTTAGTATTCAGTGTGCATGAGATACTATTTACCAAAGAAAGCCTTTCCACTGGTGGTTAAGTAGGCTGAAAGACAAATACAACCCTATATTCACAACTGTAGCTTCTGCTCTGCAAAGTCGTTTTTCCAAGGAGTGTGGAAATAATGTGTTTCTGTATGGCACATTAGAACTACAATCCTATGCATATTTACCTGCAAGTAACCCTATTAAACACCTGCTGCACGAATGTGCTTACAATTCATGTTTATGGTCTCAGTCAGATTCCTTGTGCAAACTGGTCAGTGTTTATAACTCAGAACCACTTGTTCTTCAAGTGCTGGAAGGGAACGTAAACAACACCAGGATGATGAGCTCCCCAAACTGCACCCATTTTGCATATTCCGTTAAAACCCGCTTAATATAAGTTAGCAAAACTTGTGAGTGACAATCAAAAAGCTGTAAGCAGGTTGCACTCCTGTCAAACTCCAGCTGACATTTCTTCATACCATGTCTGTGCCTATGTTTTTGGCCTGGAGATGAATTGCTGGTCTATTGCCTGCACATGACTGGCAGTGTAACTCATGTGCCTTCTGTTGGGATTGTAGCTGTGTGCTGTGGTCCCCAGACTTCACTTGAGGAGAGGCCCAAAGTGGTTTTCTGCTTTCCCAAATGCTAATCCTGGAGGCTGTGCTATGAATTTTGGCTACACTTAAGCAGGATTCTCATTTTGAGGAGGAAAGGCGAAACCATTCAGCATCATGGAGATTTTGGTTATTTACTTCATTCTTATCAGAAGGGTACAGATCTTCATCCTAATTGCATTCTAAAGGTACCCAATGTGGCTGGACATGTCCGCAGTGCGCTGCAGCTGCAAAAAATGTGAATGTGATTTTAGGCTGCATTAAAATAACCATAGATACCAAGTCATGAGAGAAGGATAACTTCTAGTTCTGAGCACCACAGACAAATGGGAATAGGTTCAGAAGAGGGTAATGTGGATAGCTGCCAGTATGAAGGGCAGGTGCTATGAGGAAAGTTCAAGGAACTAGATATATTGAGCCACTGAGGATGCTCTAGCTCTGGATTTCCTGCAATGAGAAGATTGTTGGATGAAATGGCTCACATGGCTTCCTTCGACCCAACCGTCATATGGTTGTTTCAAGGATCTCTCCTCTGGGAAACTGGTTCATTACACATTGTGTTATACTAGAGACAGGAAGGAAAGAAGGAAGGAAAGAAAGCATCTTCAGGAAGGAGAATTCAGAGCAGAGAAGCTATGGTAAGAGAGGAACTGCTCAACCTTTTTGGTGCTCAAAGCATCTTCTCTTGATCCCCCCCATCTCAAGGGGCCAAGGAACTGGGAACTGGTAATTTGGAGTGGCAAAGATACAGACATGAAAAAGGTTAAACACCCTCCTTCCCACACATATTGCTTCTGAGTGCCAATAGCCCATAGGTCATAAATGTTTTCTTAAAAATAAATAAATCTCAGGGCTCAGGGTCATTTGCAGAGAATGTGTAGTCAGCTTGAAAAATAAAGCATTCAATTGCATATGGCTGTTGTTCTCTCCCCCATATCTCTATTTCTCTGAATGTGTCTTTATTTTGCTTTACTGAGCCCCCACAAATAAAATGCATGCAAATGTTAAATACATGCAAACACACTTCAAATGTCCACCATGACAAATTCTGTGAATCTCTGAGGTAAAGCTCCTTGTCTAGAAGTTTTAGAATGTTGATTTTACTGACATAAAGAGGAGAAATTCAGGCTAAACATTACAATTTTCCTTTACACATTGATTAATTCTCAGCTTGTGTCAAGTGATATTTTTTGGTGGTCTTTCTGTATTTAGTAACATATTATGTTCTGATATATGGCAGTCATCGTTCAGCAAAGCCCTGAACAGAAACTGATTTTAGAGCACAAACGTTTCCAACAATAGTTGATGATAATACATTATCCAAAAATAGAGGGGAAGAGGGTCCACAAACATACAGGTTCTTAGCATCTCAAGGGCAATAATGAAAATCCTATATGCAAAAAAGCAAAAACAGATTTGGAAAAATAATCCAGCAGTTTAAAAACACAGAGCTCTCAACTTGACAAACTAGGACTCCGTGGACTACAGTTTAACTAACAACCTCATTCTTTTGCAAATACAGCTATGAAAATTTCCTTTTATAATGAAGTTCGGATTTAGCAATAAAATCCATAATATCTAAATATATGAAAGTTGGCTTTTCACAATTTTTTAAAAAAGTTTGTTGGCATTAAATTGACAGCTCTAAATAAAATTATGAGGGATAAAAATAATTGCTGTGTTTTGCACAGTGCTACTGAGCCAAAGCAAACCAAAGCCAAGAAAAAAACCCAAACCCTAACATGATGTACAAATCCAACCTGCGGAGAACTGGGCAACTCTTTCATAAAATTCCCAGGGATAAAAATAAATAAATATCCCAGGCAAAGAGTTCTTCTGCTTGTGCGAGGCATGGAAAAGTGTTCTTAGAATTTCTAAATAATCGAAACCTTTACAAGCTACATAAAATGGCCATCCAATTCCCCATAGCATAAGCTAGGATATCCTCTCCAGTTGCTTACGTCTTGTCATGTTATTCCTTGGACAAAACCAATGTTTTTTGCCTCCTGTAAATTCAGCTGCAGCTCAAAGGTCCATTCATTTGGTGTTGCAGTAGCTCTGCACTGCTAGTTTTTATTTTGAAATGGCAGCTTGCTGTATGACAAAATTCATTTGTTTCCCAATCCTGAAAGGGTAAAGATAAAGGTGTCAGCCACAAATCATTAGGTTTAAACTTGTAATTATTAATCTAGGAATGTTAGGAAAAGCAAAGATCGGCCTTCTTCTTTACAGTTCTCAACCGCAAGAAATGTGATACCATGAATTGTTTCTGGGCTTTTTCAATGCATCAGCACAAGATCCAAGTCCTGAGGCATGACCACCCTAGTGACCTCCAGCTGAAGGTGGGGGAACAGCACCAAAGGTTCTACATCTCCAAATCGACTAAAACTGATCCCAAGAAGTTACATTAGAAGTTGTAGCTGACACCTCACTGGAGACTACAGTGAATGTGGATGTGGCATCAAGACTGCTACTGAGGTGAGCAACTTTATCATTGAAATACCTTGTAAGCAATTCAGAATGGGCTTCCAAGTGATCTAAAATGCCATTCCCTGGAGTAGATCTCAACAGACTTCAGACTGTTGAAAAAGCTCCACTGGACAACTATTTGAGGGTGTGATAGAGGCAGAGAAGTGGGCCCTCTTCACCACCCTCACCACCACACTGAAGCAAGCTTATGTTGTTTTACTCATGCTCAGTCAGCTTCACAGCACATTTTTCACTCTAGGCACCATATGGCCTTTCTCATCGCCCGAAGTTCACTGATTTACCAAAGTCTAGTACAGGCTCCACAATGCCAGAGAGGGCATTGGGCAACTAGCTTCCTAGAGCAGGAAGAAAAGAACCACCATTGCTCTATTGTTCATTCAGTGGAAGCTGTGGCTTTGACTCTATCCCAGCAGATATGGGAGTATTGTACACCAGACACTCTTTGACAGGTACATTAACTGCAGTTGAAAGTTTCCTGACTGTAAAATCTGGACCAGAGGGTTCCTGCATTCATGATGAGACCTGGAAATCAGCTATACATGGCTTTGCAGATCAATACAATCTGAAAAAAGTTCGAAGGCGAATAGGAGGTTCTAGCTAGATTGCAAGAGATCAGTGGTACAACCTTAGAAATGTTGGCCCCAACACTCAGCCTAAGCTAGAGTCTATCAGCCACAAGTCCTTTTAGCTAGAGCTGCTTCAAACTGGAACCCCCAGAGAGATAGCTCCTCGAGCCAGATTGCTGGGAAAAGGGAGGCCTTACCTTCCTCTCTGCTTGCAGTGAAAGCAGGACATAAGGCATGCGTGTGAGGCTCCAGACCTGAGGGATACCCCTTTAAGGCACCCCACTCTTCAGCAAAGGGTGGAGCCTGAGAGAGGTAGTCCAGTCCAAAAGGCATAAAGGGCCTCTATCTTCCTTGAGCTAATAGCCTGCTTGAGCTATCCAAGGTCCTGAACTCCAGCCTCACAAAGAATCCATAGTTTCTGGTCTCTGATAACAAGACAGAACAGCACCCAAACACCACCCAGAATTTTCCTGTTGTAATATTAGTTAATCCCAAAATTTGTTAATTTAAGGAAGTTCACAGAAGGGAAGTTTCATGTGCCCACAGTCCACCTTTATCCCATGAATAGATCTCCTGAACAATGTAGGATTTTATCCTGATTCTATCCTGATTCTAATTTTTAAGCTGTATTTTAATCAATTGTTTGATTGGGTTGATTGTGTTTTAATGTATTTGATATTTGATGCTAGCCGCCTGACCCTTGGCTGGGGAGGGCAGGGTATAAATAAAAATTGCTTACTTACTTACTTACTTACTTACTTACTATGGAAGGGTAACAGATCCCACCATAACTTATTCAGATAACTCATCCTACATAACTACTAAAACTGATCTAGATATAGCCCCACTAGGTTTTTGTAAGGGCATGAGTACCCTTTGTTGTCTTATCGGCACTTTTTCTAGTTAGTTGGCCATGCTTTCTTGGTGCACTGAAATTGGGTGACAAACTCACCAGCTTTAATTTATCATGGTTTGTTGGGGAATACCTTACAATTCAGCATCATGATATATTTAGAAAGAGCCTGACAACAAGTTGAGACACATGACATCTCAAAGCCTAAGTGTCTAAATGTTTGCTCTGGATGGAAGGTGTTTACACCCAACAATTATTGCTGATAACCACAGAGATAGACTAAAGCTCTGTTATGGGATAATGCTAACACCATCTGGCAGGTGCTGATAGCTTGCTGAGTAATGCTGTCGTCAGCAATTGCATGGTGATGGAAAGCTATTGCTTCACTAATCACAGCTGCTTTCATGTGTTCTGTATAATTTGCTCCCATCTCTACAGAACCGCTGCTACAAAGAATCTCTCTCTTTTCTTTATAAAGATTAATAGCTTCCTTGTTACCTTTGGGTGCCACTGTTGTCTATTTAATACTGAATGTCTTCTACCACTTGCCATTTTTAATTACCTTCCTAAGCGAGTGAAATGTAATACATTCATCATCTAAGGGCTGCTTTGCACACAGCCTGGGTATGTAGTGCATGTAAATGGAAAAGTTTGTGGATTGAGCCCAGGTTCAGATGTCCATCCTATTCTGCACAAAGAACCTTTAAAATGAAGAAGAGCAGGTAAGGCTCATTTACAAGATAAAAAGAACTACTTGTGTAGGCATTTACATTAGCAAAGCGAGGGATGATTGGCTTTTACCTTGTATGCTACCTAAAATTAATTTCCAGTTTTGCCAGTATATAAAAACCACAGTGTGTTCCTTTACTTCTGTTCTCTGGTTAACAAGAAGACTGGAAACACTTAAGGCTGGAAATAGATCCAAGTAACTGTTTGATTTTATATTCTCAAAAACAGGGTATCAGTCATTTGCATATTTGTTTGTGCCTGCGTAGTTCCTAGGAGAACCTAATCCACCTACCTCTGCCATCTCTACACTCCATGCAAAGACTGTGACTTTACCAGCAAGCCAGATTACCCCTCACACCCTCTGCTTAACATCCAGCCTGACAAAGAGTTCTGGAGAACTCCAAAGCTTGCTCACTATTTTGTGACATATTGGTTGGTCTTAATAAAGATATTTTTCTTATTGGCCAACATGACTGCCTTTACTGTTTGTGTGCCTGCCATCCAGCCTCAAGCTCAGTGGGGTCCTGATCATTAGTATTAAGATGAGAACCAGGAATTTGAAACCAGCTCTCTGCTACTGGCCATGTAGAATCTGTTTCAGTGTCCTAGCAATTGTTGGACTCCAGGGGTAATGACAATATACTTCCGACTGCCAGTTACTAGAGAACAGCAGAAGGGGCAATTATTTCCAAGTCCCACTTGTGGGGTTCCCAAAGGAAACTGATTGGCTACTATAGAAAAAGGACACTGGCTTGGCTTGGCCCTTGCTCTGACTTAGGTTCTGGACTTAGGTGCAATTACTCAATTGATAATCTTACTTCCATGCTCAGTAAGCAGCAATAAAAGGGGCAGAACTAACAAGTAGGAAGCTTTTTATTAATTTTGCAAGGAACTTTTTGATAAATGGAACTTTCTTCTACATCAGGATTATGCAGCCCAGGGATATTGGCAATGGGCATTTCTGGATAACACAGTGCCTCATTAAGTCTCCATTATAATACCGCTTCTTGGTGACTGCACAAAATCAGTGTCTCAGCAGAACCATAGTAGTATGGAAGCAGTCACAGAAAAAACATATGAGAGGAACCCTGTACCACAGGAAAGTTATTCAAAACTGCAATAATAGAAGCTCAGATAGAATGTACACTGCAATTCATGAAAAGTACCACCAAGACCAAGAGGATGCCAACATGCTTAACGAGCAGTGTCAAGGATGGCAGGGAGAAGAGCATTCAAGAGAATAAGAACCACCAGGGCTCTTCTAATTTTCTCAAAGAGAAATTAGAAATTGTATCAAAACTGAACCTTACTAAGAAGAAATACTATGAAGCAGGTTTGTTATTACACACATAATATTACACACATATTATTAACATATTACACATATTACGCAGCCCTGTTTAGGGAAGTTTTTAATGACTGATGTTTTAATGTAATTTTAATATTTTGTTGGAAGCCACCCAGAGTGGCTGGAGAAAACCAGCCACATGGGTGGGGAATAAATTTTATTATTATTATTATTATTATTATTATTATTATTATTATTATTATTCCTTTAATTAATAAGTCTTTCCAACCTTTCAAGAGCATCCCAAATGGTGAGCATAACAGTGCATTTAAAAACAATGAGTAGGACTATGGTGAATACAGACATTACCTTAACATGAATTAATGTGAAAATGCTCCATACTGGGACACATTTATGAAACGTATGCTTTTGACTCTTTGCTATAAACCTGGATGAGTTTGCATCATATCCCTAGATAGTTAATGCTATAACACAGATCACAACTTGGACCAGTAGTGCACTTAGCAAGGCTTACCTTTCTTTTGTATGAGATTCTGCCTGGCCCGAATGAAAGCTAGAATGTCAGCATCTGTTTGGTGGTCTCCTGTGAAGGAGATAGATGAACTTTGTACCGGTGAAATCCTGCAATAACAAAGTATGGTATATTTAAGCTTTCCTCTGAGTTTTCTACTGCTTAGATTTTGTATTCCTTCTTGTGGATAACTTTGTATATTATTATTATTATTATTATTATTATTATTATTATTATTATTATTATTATTATTATTATTATTTCTTCTTGCTCTTCACCCTAAGGTCCCAGGGTGGGTTAAAGCCTTAAAAACAATTTAAATAACTTGTGCTTTCTGTCTTCAGGATATAGGCCTAATCCACAAAGTGCTACACAGCCTCTGTTCATTTCTTTCAGCTAGGTTTATTCAGGACTCTTGGATGGAACAGGGGCTTGTGGATTATGTTCTGTTTTGGTAGCAATCAGCATAATTTGAGAGAGCATTGGATTTGCAAACTGAACACGTCTATCTGTTTTACAATCAACACGTACTCACATTACATTCTTAAAAATAAGGAGAAAATCAATTTTCCAGCTACTTGAAACTGAGTGTTGGGAAAACACCATTCTTTATTTAAAATATTTCTATGCTGCCCTTCAGCAAAGCTTCCAGGGCATTCTATGGTTGCATGAACACGGAGGTTATCCAGGCTGCTTGGAGCAAAGCAGCAACCGCTGCACATTACCTGCGCAAAAACCACCTGAATCAAATCCTACAGGCTTCTTAAATGACTTTGGGTAACATCTACCTCTTTAGGGCTGTTGCAAGAATGAGTTAAAAATGGCCAGGCATGTTATATTCTCAAGCCACATAAGCTGCAAGTGCTTATGGGCAAGATTACCTTTTACTGCAGTCTCACATACCAGCCACTTTAAGGGCCAAACCACCGATCACTTTAGAAACACTTCCCTTTTCAAGTAAAAAGAGCCGTGTGGGAGCCCCAATCCTGATCAGGAGTGTGGCAAGTGGGGAGGAAGGGTTTCATGTTCTGTATGGTTGGGTTTCCCCAAGCGAGCATGGAGGAGCCTCGTCATGCGTCCCTGAATGCACATAGGATCCCCTTTCAGTTTTCCCACTCAGTATGTGAAGGAGCAAAGGCAGCAGTGGATGGTAGAGATGGCAACACTGGTGGCAGGATACTCCGTGTATATACTCCATGGAACTTAATTGGAACTCCATGTGTTCCAATTAAAAAAATAATAATTCTGAAGAGGGCTTCAGTGTCTTTGCTGGGTTCTCAGCACCACATGCCCTTACTGCATACCTTGCTTTTGAGGGCGAGTTACTCAGTCTGCTCCCACTGCTCTTCACAGATTGCTCTTCATTGAAGCTGGCTCTGCTGTTATTTGGAACCCTGGGGGAAGAATTCATTTCAGACTGCCACAAATGATGCTGCATTTGACAAAGGATATGTTTAATTCATAGAAAACTATAGAAAGGAGTGAAATATTTGTCTAATTCAGTCATTTCCTAGAAAGAAAATGGTCAGCAATGGTTCTTTTAGGATTAAGCAAATGGGACTTCGAAGTCCATTCAGATGATAATCATTCCAGATAGCAATACCCAGTTTCAATTTCATCCTCAGTATGGGCTACATTTTCCTTTTCTATGCCGTTCACATTTTCCATTGCTATCCTTTGTTTTCTTACCTACTCTACTCTTTTCGCTAGCTTACTGATTCTCTTCTCTTCCCTTCATTCTTTATTTCTCCACTTAACAAAATATGGTCATGGCACTACTCATGAGGGAAGCACTTGCAGACCAGTGGATTAGAAGAATGTCATGTGGCATTCCATAGCAAAGCAAAATGTTTGCATCACACTTAACTCCTTAACATTTGGACTGGCATATAATTTGCTGTGCCACTATTTCAAGCATTGACTTGAAATCTGAACATATCATTATGTTTTTTTTAAAATCATATTTATTGAAATTTTCAGAAGACAGAAAGTAAAGATAAGACAGAAACAGAATGCATTTAAAACCTTATTTTCATTATCCACTTTCTGGGACTCCCCCCCTCCCCCATCCCTACCATATTCCCCTTTCATATCGTTAGCTCAACAAGCTCTCCCTCCTAATTTAAACTTAATTTGTTTAGCCCAATATTCAAATTTAAGCTTATACAGTCCTCATCATTACCCTTGATAAGAAGCAAAAATTCTCTCCCCAAGGTCCCCCCCACTTTCCTTCCACGAATTCCCTTTTTTTTAATAAAAACACCCAACAAAATATATAAAGAAAAACAATATAAAGATATAAAAAGATAAAAAGTATATAGAAAAAAGAACTCAAAAAATAGTTGCAAGCCTTTGGATTCTAGTTCTCCCCCCCCTTCCCCGGTTTGGGTTCCCCCTGTCCACCAATCTATGTTGTCTGCCTGGAATTCTTAAATCCATAAATCAGATTTTCCCCCAGTCCCTTGCCAGTTTTTTTGTTTTTTTTTAAGTTTAAAGTTATTTTTATAGTATTTAACTTCAAATCTCCAATCTTTGGTCTTTAAGGCTCCCCCCATTGTTCTTTCCATGTTGTAGTCCAGTTTCATCTTGTTCCGCTGCTAAATCGTTCTAATTCAGAAATTTAGTAACTCTACAGGGGATTTTGTTATTCAGGAACAAAAACTTGCGTTCAGTCCCTTCCTTTCTTCAATAGAGAATTCTATTGTCTCCTTTAATGTAAACACCCCTGTAGACATAATACTGTTTCAGTTTTGCAGCTTTCCCAGAAGATAACCAGTCCTGTAAAGTTCCGAAGGTATTTTTCCACTTACGACCATCTTTGTAATGTCCCGAAACTCCTCTAGGGGGATTGTTATAACTTTGTTTCCTCTAGTCCAAAAGTCTAGTTGTTGTTCCATATTTTCGCCATTTTGTATCCAAATCTTAGCAAATTGTAGCAAATTTGACCAGCAAAGTCCTCAAAACAGAGTCCTCTTTAAATTTTTCCAGCTTTGACAGCTACTTTGACAGCTGTCAAAGTCTCCGTCTCTTTTCACCAGGCTCTCTCTCCAATCGCCCCAGTTCCCAGGGGGGGGGTTACGTTCTCCTTCTCCCTCCACTCTTCTCCTCCAGCACAGTTTCTTGTAGTTTCCCATCGTGAAATTCTTGGTTTTTATCAAAAATACAGTTCTTTTGTGACCTTGGTTGCCCGATCCTTGTTTTAGAATGTTTACAGTAGGGAGGGGGACTGACTTCCTTTTTGGATCCCCCCCGCTCGTACCAAATCTGAAAAAAATTTCCTTTTTTTCTCCTTTTAAACCCGGTTTTCCAAATTACTCACGGGTTGTTGTTAAAAGTCCGAATTCTCAATGGAAGAAGTCAGCGCTCTCCGCCGGATGGCATGCGGCTTCGCTCGGCAGGGCTAGCAGAGGACTCAAAGCACCGCGCCTCTCCCCAGCACCCGATCCGTAGCCTTTAAAAAGGCTCCTTCACGAGTCGGGAGGGCGCTAGCGGTGCCAGCCGAGTCTCCATGTCCACGGCCTCCGTGGCCGTGGGTTTTAAGGGTCCCTGCGTCGCCGGCGCGGTAAGACCCAGCCCCTGCCGAGCAGGCTCCCTCCGGAGCTCGGAGGGAGTCCGCCATTCGGCGATTGCGCCAACCCGGAAGTCCCTGAACATATCATTATGAACCAAGATTTAACCACTAGATGGCAAGCTTGGGGTATTTTTGCTTTTATGAGTTTGTGTTAAATTGGCTTCCAAACAGATACTTCTGGCAAAAAGAAAAAAGAAACTTATGAAGAGGGAATGGAAAGCATTGCTTCTTAACAGTGTCACAAGAGCCAAGAAAGCCTATCTCCTTGGCTGGAAGACAAGGTCCCAGACTTTTGACTCCACCAAGGCAAAGGACTTCCTGCCCACCCAGCTGAGAAAGCAGGAATAAATCAAAGTCCCCTTAATCCTGGAAATCCTGAAATCGCGGCACTGAAGAGCAAGTACAATCTCAGCCATGCCTCTGATTTTGTGAGTTCTTTTATTGTACCAAGAGATCCTCAGTCTAATGCACTTCAGATATAGATTTGCCCCATTTATTTAAAAAACAACAACAAACAGCTGGGAATTGGAATGAGTTTCACTGAAAGCCATGCTTGCAAGAATAAGGTAGATCTCTTTGAAGAGAGGCAAATGCTCCTGCCAAAGTATAGCAAGAAGATACGAGGTGAAGGTAATCTTCCAAGTTAACCCTGTACGTTGCCCTCTTGGTATCTATTTGTGAACTGAACGAAACAATGACCCATCTTTGTGTTTTCCATTAACTTTACCCTTCCTTGCAACTGACCCAGCCCTGCTGATCAGATTAGCAGGCAAACCCCCATCCACTATGTTCACCGGTTTGTTTGAATCGTTTTGCAGAATCCCTAATTTCTCTCTGTTTTCTTAGACATTTTAAAAGGAAAAGCTTTTTCTTTTTCTTTTGGTGTTGGGGGGGGGGGGGGAGAGACACAGCATCTGCTCCAGCTGTAGTTTTCCTGGACACTTTCTTACACCAAATTTTGAAAAGTAGCTTGGGGGCACCAGGGGGGCTACTCATTCAGCAAAGTATTCCTTTCTCTGAATGTCTCACTGCTCAGTCGTAGGTTTGCAGAGCGAAATGCAGAGCTCAGAAAATCAGAAACAAAAAGGATCTGTCATCTTTCCTCTCTGTAGAATTCTTAATCGTGATCATTACAACTAATTTAATTTGCTCTAATTGGATGAGAGTCACTGTTTCCAGCAAGGCAATTAGAAAGAGTATTCAGTCGTAGCATTTTTGGGAAAGGTCCTCAAGCTCATAGATTTCCTAACAATGCTGTGAGTGTTGGCGATGTTCACCAGCCTTACTTCACAGATGTCAGCTATCTTACTATAAAGTCTAACATTGTGTGCACTGAGCCTTCAATTATTTGAAATGTGATACATTCTTTTTCAATATTTCTCACCTTGTTTTAAATCTCATTGTTATGAACTGGGAGTCCTTTAACATATTCCTGTTTTTATAATATCTTTAAGATGCTCACATTTTCTGTTTGCTTTTGAAGTCTGGTTTATTATGCACATTCAAATAATGGGAGTCAAGCTGGGAGGATTCATCTCTCAGTAACTTTCTGAAAGTATCTGCTATTTATTTTGCCTTGAGAGACAGTGAAGTGTGCCTCTGGGGGTAAATCAAACCGCTGGAGAACCACAGTGCCCACTGTGGCTACAGAGACCAGTAAATTGTAACAGCTTCCCCCCACATTGTTTTTGCTGTGTTAGCAGCACCAAGGTGACCTCCCCAGGGCACAAGCCTGGGTAGTGTGTGTGTATGGAGGACCTGGGCTGCCCAGACAAGATCCCCCTCTCAGCTTTGCTGATGTGGTTCAAGGGAAAGCAAAGCCATACAGCTTGGCTTCAGGAGCTGCCAGAAGGAGGTGTACAAGGCACTATCTTCACAGCCTAGGACCCTCGTACCTACGGGACCGCCTCTCCTGGTATGCCCCACGGAGGACCTTAAGGTCCATAAATAGCAACACCCTAGAGGTCCCGGGCCCTAAGAAAGCTAGATTAGCCTCCACCAGGGCCAGGGCCTTTTCAACACTGGCTCCGGCCTGCTGGAACGCTCTGCCTCATGAGACCAGGGCCCTGCGGGATCTGATTTCTTTCCGCAGGGCCTGTAAGACAGGTTCCATCTGGCCTTTGGCTTAGAATCAATTAGATTCCCTTCCCCTTTTTCTTTTTCCTTTCTCCTCCTGTGAAGAGGCTGCATCTTAATGTTTTAATGTTGCATTTTAATCTTGTTTTTTAAGTTGTATTTTAATCAACTTATTTTTATTATTGGTTGTTAGCCGCCCTGAGCCTGGTCTTGGCTGGGGAAGGCGGGGTATAATTTTTAAAAAATTACCATCATCATCATCATCATCTTAGGGACTCGACTCTGGATTTGAATAGAGTTTACACATTAGCCTTTTCCTCTTCTTGAGATGCCCCACAAGGCAGTGGATATGGATTTTTCCTTGGGGTTTACTACCAAAGCCTTTATCACAAATGAGTATAACTGCAAGGCATTGGAGGTTTGGATCAGAGTTTGCCTTCTCCTAGATGGACTGCCTTCCCCAGTGGACAAGCCCCACCTGCCCTTCATTTCCTCCTACAGCATGTGCAGGAACCTCCTTCTTGACCACTGGACCTACTGTATTGGCCCAAATATAAGCCGCACCCGAATATAAGCCACACCGTTAAAATTGGAGTGGGGGGAAGAAAAAAAGAGAAAAAAATACCTGAATATAAGCCGCTCCCTTCCTCGCTGCTCCTAGCTCCCCCTTCCTGGCCTTGGGGGAGAGGACAGGGAACTACGTGCTCCTGGCTGCATACCATAAGGTCGCAAATATAAGCAGAACTTTAACTTTTCAGTCAGAATTTGGGGGGAAAGTGCAGCTTATATTCAGGCCAATACGGTACTATTGGTCTCATCCACTCAACCCACCGAAGCCTGTCTTTGCATGCAGGGGGAGTCCCTAACTTATCCAAAGGATTGAGATCCACTGGCTACCCTCACCTTTACCTTTCCTCTCACTCTCAACAGGTCCCGTCAATCAATTCACCAAGGGCTACATGGTATTTGACAGCAGAAATCCTATTTCAGTGCAAGCACCAAACACAGCAGAGTCGTGTGCAGAAAAATACTTCCAAGTTACAGTAAAATAAAAGTTGCACAAGCAGGTTGCTGGTAACTTTGTTGCACAATAGATTGTACAACTTGTTGCACAATGCATGTCTGTCTATACAACTGTTGTGTTGGATACCTCAGCTGCACAATATCAAAATCCCCCCATCTGCTACAGCAAGAGCCCTTACTCCAGTAGACAGAGAATGTTGGAGATAGACATATCAAATTAGTATGGCATGAGCTTTTGTGAGCTACAGTCCAGGAAAGCTTATGCCATAATAAATTTGTTAATCTTTAAAGTGCCACCAGAATCTTTGTAGTTATAGTTTTCTGGTAGCTATGTTAGTGATACATTCATATGATTCTTATATGAGGTCTCCTGAATTTTAGCGTTTATAGCCACTTATCCATCTGTTATCTAAATTTCCTCTTACAAATGACTTTCTAGCTACACCTGAACCCACATTCATTGTTATGTAGTATATAATTCATGTCAACTTTCACTACTCCTATTAGCTTGACTGATGGAAGATGATGGTTAGATCCCTTTCTGTGAGTAAATTACCAGTTGGCTTCTGGATGGATTTAACAAAGAGCTTTTTTGTGCTCCAAGGCCACAGAGTTGAGAGAAAATATAAAGTCAAAAGGTCTCATCCCATGCAATTGCGGGAATGAATCAGTTAGGTTACTGTGTCATTCAGGTTCAGTGGAATCCTTGGGAAGCAAGCATTTTGTTATTTTATATTCTTAAATGTAGGAAACTAAAAACTTTGCCTCCGAAATGTTAATGCCTCAAACAGGCTTCAAGGGGACAAGAATAAATTTTCAGCACAGTGGGATATAAAAATTTGCTGTTCCCTTTCACAGTGTCAAGAGCTCCATTACAAATTCTTCATGCATCACACTGAGAACATAGCTGCATAAAATGGGTTTAGCAGGCTTAACACACAATAACACTAAAGTGCCTTGAATAAGGTCCATGGAGAACTTAAAAGGGTCATTACGAGTGTAATGGCATAGATGATATTAGATATCTGCAAATAAAAATGGAGCTACACAGTCTCTTCCACATAGAATATCACATTTTATTCATGCTCTTGGCTTTTTATCGTCTACATGCCTTATAATCATAACCTCCAGGCTACCTGATAATCTGGCTGCCAAGAAAAAGAACCAAATCCAACAAATAGTACACCCTAGTCACCTATCTATCTGTTTGTCAGTTTTCAAAGACAAATGAAATTAGCAATCAGAGAATATAGCTAGCACTTAGACCTAATAGACATTTGGTGCATTTGTCATATCAGAAATAGACATGTGACACAACCCCAAACTGAAATGAACTCCATGAGAAATACTAGTCTACATTTATAGCACTCATCCATGTTTGCTTTTGGTTTTTCTTAACAACTTAACCTAGGAAGAGGAAGAATTTCCATATTTACTTCAGAAGAGACAGCTTTGTACCAGGCGTTCCTGTGTAGGTGGGAAGGGAGTGTTGGAAGCATCTGTGTGAGACCAGGTAGTTTCTAGTGAACATCTAGCCAGAGGGAGAGACTCTTTTGGTGTTGTGGGTAAGCACCTGAGTGAAAGTCGGGGTGGAAGTGGTTGTATGACCCATTTCAATTTGGGTTCAGACCTGGATATGGGACAGAAGCAACCTTGTTCACCCTGAATGACTTGTGTTGGATTTAGAAGCATTATTGCCCAGAGTATTTACTGTACTTTTCAGTCTATAAGACGCCCCCATGGATAAGATTTTGGGGACTCAATATTAAGAAAATGGGGGGAGATTGTTCAGAATGGGAGGAATGCCGAAAAAAAGCTCACTCAAATTCAAAACACTTGCGGATCGAACGCAACGCAACGCAGAAGCCTCCTATCGTATTTCCGATTGACACCAGCCGATGCCAATCACACGCCCAATTGCAGCAGCAGAGCCCAATCACCAGCAGCCATTGCCGCAGCAGCAACCAATTGCTAGCGGACATTCATGCAGCAGTACCCAATCGCAAGCGGACATTGCTGCAGCAACACCCAATCACAAGTGGACATTGCTGCAGCAGCCTATCACCTGCAATAACACCAGTGACAATCTACTACTCAAGACAGAAATCATTTCCACTGTCCTCCCTCTGCACTACCCATGTATAAGACGACCCCCATTTTTAAGCATTGTTTTAAGGTAAAAAAAAATCATCTTATACACGGAAAAGCTTGGCTCTTGCTACAAGTAGTACTCCTTGCACTTCTTCCATCTGTTTTCCATCTCTACAATCTCATTGTTTGAACCCACAACATGGATTCACAGCATATAATGGGACTCAACTCATTATATATTAGCGTGGCCATATCTCCAAAGTGCAGCTCCATTTCACGTAGGTGTTCACATGTGTATGAATTCGACATGAGCTATTTAAAGTCCTAAGTGACCCTAAAATATCAGGGGACCATAAAAAAGACAATTCTATGTTGCATATTTTCAAACAGATAACCATCTTACCTGGTACCGTATGAATGTGGTTGGGCTTCAAGAAGCGAGGGAGGAATCTTTACTACACTGGTTGAATTTTGCAGAAGTGGCTTCTCGTCCTGGGCCGAAAGAAACATTACACAGGTAGGATGCAAAAGTCAAATGTGGAAAACAGTGGGTTCGCCCCATCTCCATTAAAATTAAATGCTAAATGCTTTAAAAAAAACCCTGCTCTACAATTCTAATCTTCCACACCAGTTGTCTACTTCTGTAGCACCCTTCCTTCCTTCTATCCACTCATCCATCCTAGCACTGAAGTCAGAAATTCCTGGTGCCTTACAATAAAGTGTTGAAGATTGGTTTTAAAATGTCAAAGGTCAGGTTTCAGGCTTTCAAAATGGATCAGTAGGCATTGGCTGATCTGAGTGACTTAAGGGACTTAGAATTTTACACAGGTTAAAATCTATGCAATTAAAGTCTCCTATTATATTAATCAGCGGCTGAATTTTGGGCTCTTCCTGCGCACATACACATGCATATATGTATAAGACTGGAGAAATACTGCCTTAAATACAGTCCCATTTAGATAATTTCAACCATGTTTTCCTCTAACAAGTATAAGACAAATTTTAAATATTGAGGATACCTGCAAGTTTCTCGCCTCCTCAGACCACCAAATTTCAAAGTCTTTTTGCAACTTCACCTTGGCTTTTTCCATAAGTAGCTGCAAGTGCTCAATCTCTATCTTCATTCCTTTCAAGTGTGTAAACATTGTTTTGTAACTGCAGAAAATAAGTAAAATTCACTATAGAATAATAATGCAGAAGCTTCTGGAAAGAAACACTCTTAATTATTGTGCAGGGCTGCACCAAATTCACTCCTCTCATTCCTCACCCCATCCCACAGAAGGCAAGCTGGAGAGACCGGCCTGTTGTTTGCCAGATGGTGGGGTGTGTGTGAGAGAGACCAAGTTCACCAATTTATAAGCAAAATTGATAATTGTTATTTTATTTACAGTTTTGAAAAATTGAAATATAACGATACAATAAAGGAACTTGTATTCCAAAACATTTGGTTCAGAATAAATGCAATCTTCCTGTACGCATCCAACCCTTTCCCATAAAACTGTGCCCCATTCAAATATTTTTCTGTCCTCTCAGAGCTCCTCTAGATGTCCAGACCACACTCAATGAATTTAAGACACAGATAAAAAAAGTGGAGTGAAAAACAGAGGGGAGGGATGGAAAAGGAGCCAAAAACTGCCCCAGATAATCAAAGGTTCCACACATCCTCTCAATCCCCACAAAGGTCTTCTCTTTTCATATAAGCCACATTGTTATGGGCCACCAAGCGCCTTGCCAACAAAACTAGGGGTGTGGTGATAAATGGAATTCCTTCGCTAAATGTTACTGGACCAGACTGGGGGAAAGAGGATTTTGTTAAAGCTCAAAGGACTGACTGATTAGTTAAGCAGCTGTAATTTATTTATTTAATATTAAATTTGCATACCACTCTTCACAGGGTGGTCACAAGGCTGCATCCATTCCTTACAGTTGAACAATATATAGTTAGTACCACTGCTGAACAATGGTTTATGTAGCTAGTGTGGGTGGGATGTTTTAATGTAGGTTTTTTAAAAATAATAATAATTAGAATTGTGTTTTAGATTTTTTTAAAGCTGTACGTATGTACGTAAAGGTTTTAAAAATGTGATAATCTAAAACAACCTTTTCTTCTCCCGTTCCATTTGTGTCCGAAGTGTCTCTTCTATTGGGTCAGGCTCATTCATTTGTCGAGGACTGACAACAGCTGCAAGATATAATGAGTGTTAACAGTTGTAAAATGTAGAGCTAAGAAAATGTTTATACGCTGGAATGATAATCGTTTTATATGTCTGACAGAAAGAAGTATCATACACAACTTTTTTTACCCAGAGAGCCCGGTTTCTGTCAAAGGAATAGATTCCAATCTTGCTACAGCAGTTTATCTTTCGTGAATTTAAACTGTTTTCTCCCCTCTGGATTTACCTCAGCGCAAGATTAGCATCTCACTTCTAGGTAAAAATATGCCTGATGGGGCCAAAACTACATGTTAAATTAAATTCACAATCACAGTGAATGTATTGTTTCTTAAAAGAAAAATAGCAGTAGGCGGAGGGTCAGGATCGTGACTACAGCATGAGGAGAGCTGCCGTCCTAACAGAAAAGGGTAGCCTCTCCTCCTTCCACACTATGATCCAAACCTTAATTCCACCCCTTCCATGCTTAAAAACCTGATATGTTGCAAGCGATCATACATTTAAAGTAACAAATAGTTTGGTTCTCAGTATTATAGGTCTTAGTGCAAGCTTTGAAGACCCAGCACACTGAGGGGTACCTATGACCTCCAGGATATTCTCAGAGGTGTCATTTCCCAGCCCTGCCTTCACTGTTTGAGAATTAGCTGGAGTTAAAAACACCATCTCGGCAATGCTGCTTGTCCCAGAGAAGAGGATGATGGGGGAAATCACCAGGAACTTATATCTAGCAGTATCTCCCTACCTTTCCCCCAACCAATCTGCTAGATAATTGGGATCACTGTATCTTCCAATGGGTTCCCTGATAGTTCCTCTGCTGAGACCATTTCTAGGCTCTTGTATTTGCCCCACCTAGTCTGTCTTGCACTCTTCTTGCTTCCCAATTGTATGCTCATCTGGAGTATCGTCACACAGATGAACTCTGCCATTTGTTGATATTTGAAGGGCTGGCATAGCTTTGTGTTCTATTCACTGCTGTTGCACACAACCTCTGGAATTTCCCCTCTAAAGAGGATTTACTGAGCTCCCTGTTGCAGGTCTCTAGAAGGCAGATAAAGATCCTCCTTGGTTATATCTGCAGCTGGGTTGTGATGTGATTTGCGGTGCTTTGATACTGTTATTTTTAACTGTATGCTGTTGATATTATTGTACATTGTTTTGAGTGGTTTCACTTTACCCAATAAGAGCAACTCTTACATTTTCAAATTTTATTAAATTAATAGATATGTTGTGTCTGAGAAGTGTGAGCCCTGCAACAAGGCCTTTATCACAAAAAATAAAAATAAAAGGGAGGGTGCTTAAAGCAACTAATCTCAACTGTGTAAGAAAATGATCAAATAATCATAGAATTTTAGAGTTGGAAAGGGACCCCACGGGTCATCTAATCCAACCTCCTGCAGTGCAGCAATCTCAGATAAAGCTTCCATGACAGATGGCCATCCAATCTCTGCTCAAAAAACCTCCAATGAAGGAGAGTCCACCACCTCCTGAGGTTCCACTGTTGAACAGCTTTACCACCGGAAATTTAATAGTTTAAAGAACTCAAAAACTAACAGTTTCTGATTCTAATATTAGTTTCTCATTCTAATATTACAGCAAATTGTTCAAGATTTATTTATTTATTTAATTTTATTCAAAAATATATATTCAAAAGTTACAATACAATACATTTTCAATCAATATATCCCCTTCACAGACACCTCTGTGATAATGGTGGTATTAAGATTTCCAAGATAACATGTTTGGTATATTAAGCTAAAGTGAAAAGAAGACAAATGATTTAGTTTGGGTTCCATCTCAATTACAGTGGTACCTTGGTTCTCAAACTTAATCTGTTCTGGAAGCCCTTTCCAAAACCAAAGTACTCCAAAACTAAGGTGCGCTTTCCCTTAGAAAGTAATGCAAGATGGATTAATCCATTCCAGACTTTTAAAAACAACCCCTAAAACAGCAATTTAACATGATTTTTACTATCTAACAAGACCATTGATCCATAAAATGAAAGCAATAAACAATGTACTGTAGTCACACAACCAGTTAGTCAGTAGCTGAACTCAGTTCCACACAGTCACAAAAACAAAACAAAAAGAGCCGCAAAAATGCAAAATAAACAGCAAAAACCGACAGACCTCAGCGTAACACTCAAAACGGAAGTGTGATACTCAAATCAGAAGTGTAACACTCAAAACGGAGCATGTTTGGCTTCTGAAAAAAGTTAGCAAACCGGAACACTTACTTCTAGGTTTGTAGTGTTTGGGTTCCAAGTTGTTTGAGTACCAAGGCATTTGAGAACCAAGGTACCACTGTACTGGTTTAACAAGGAAGTAAATTATAAGTAAACCTGCTACTAGGCTAAAGGAGTGTACCTAGCTTCAGGGAATGAAATTCTGGCTGGAACACCAGGGCAATAATGACCAGTGTTGCAGCTAAAACCATTAATCTTTACTTACAAAACTCAGCAGCTTAATCAAAAAAGAAATCAAATAATTTATAATAATTTCACTGAAAGTACTTTAGACCAAATGTTTGACTAAAAGCCAAGAAGATGTCATGATCTACAGGGCCCCTCCGGTGTCGGTCGCGGAGATTAGGAGGCTTATTCAGGCACTCAAACACAGAAAAGCCCCGGGAGCAGATAACATCTCTCCTGAACTTCTCAAAGCCAATATTGACTGGTGGGCCCCAGTCCTTGCCACCCTTTTCACCAGCATAGATCAAACAGCAATAATACCAGAGGACTGGGGATTGGCAATCATCGTTCCCATATTCAAGAAAGGCTGTAAACTTGATCCAGCCAATTACAGACCAATCAGTCTCTTAAGCATCATCAGCAAACTTTATGCAACTCACTTACGTGAAAAGTTTGCGGACTGGCTGGAACAGGAGCACATCCTAAAGGAAGCCCAGGCTGGTTTCAGGGCACATAGATCAACTCTAGACCAAGGATTGGTATTGCAACATCTAGTGGAGAAATACACCTCAAAGAAAGGAGGCTCTCTCTATGTAGCCTTTATAGATTTCAAATCAGCCTTCGACTCGATACCCCGGCACAGACTTTGGGAAAAACTAAATGTCACAAACATCGATAGACGTCTTTTGCTTCTTATCCGTAGACTACATGAAAATACTCGGATCCGTGTTAGATGCGACCGTTATGGGGACCTATCAAAGGAAATCCAAAGTTTCCATGGTGTCAAGCAAGGCTGTGTTCTTGCCCCTATTCTTTTTAACTTCTATATAAACTCCTTAGTCGGAAAGATGGAGGAAGCAAGTACTCATTCCCCAAACCTAAATAATACACCAATCCCGGTCCTTTTGTACGCAGATGATGCGGCACTTATTTCCTTCTCTTGTGTGGGTCTAAGAAAACTTTTACGAGCTCTTACAGAGTATTGCGAAGCTGAACACCTAATAATAAATTACACTAAATCAAAAATTATGGTGTTCTCCAAGAGAAAACTCCGACATAAATGGAAAATTAATAACCAACCTATTGAGCAAGTAACATCTTTTAGATATCTTGGAATAATTTTTAATGAGAAGGGATCTTGGTGCCATCAGATTAAGAATTCCATTGTAAATGCGCAAAGATCTTCCAGAGCTATCATAAGATTCTTTTACAGAAAAGGAGGTCAATATGTTCCTGCTGCCTCCCAGGTCTTTGTTGCAAAAATACTTCCACAATTGATGTATGGCACCCAGATATTTAATTGTCAAAAACTCAAGTCCCTGGAATCTGTACAAACTAAATTTTATCGTTCCCTACTAGGGTTACCTACCTGTGTCTCTAACACTGCCATTAGGCTGGAGGTAGGTCAACTCCCTATTAATGCCAGGATATGGATCCTGAAGATTCACTTCTGGCTAAAACTCATATTTTTCCCAGTGGGAGTGGCTCCACTGACTCTACTAGACCCGTTCCAGTCTAAATGGAGATTGTCGCTTTATGAAAAATTGAGGGGCCTGGGGCTTTCCCCACAAGAACTCATAGCCTCAGGCTTTGAAAAGGCTAAAATGATGGTGAGCCAGCGAATAGGAGATGTAGAGCTTCAGGACCATATGAGCAAGATAGATAAATATCCAGCTATCCAAGATTATGGAAAAGGGTTTAATCTAACCCCATATTTGCTGGACCTACAAATCGCAAAATATAGGCGGGCGTTTACCCTTACCAGATTTGATGTATTGCCATCTGCCTTACTAAAGGGCAGATACGAGGGCACACCCTATGCTGAACGAGTTTGCCCATGTGGTCTGAAGGAGGTGGAAACGGCTTCACATGTGTTGTTACACTGCGACCTTTACGGGGATATCAGGTTACTGTTTATCTCCCCTATCGTTCAGAAATTTCCAGGTCGATCTGAATCTCAGCGGCTGAAAATCCTACTAGGAGATAAAAACCCAGAAGTAACACTGAAAGTGGCCAAGTTTTCTGCGGCCGCGATCAAGCGGAGGGCATTAGCTGTAAAAAAGTAAAAGATCTGACCCCTGGATAAGCCCCCCCTTTTTTTAAGCCCATACATATACTGTAGTGCATATATGAGTATGTATATGTGTGTGTGTGTGGGTGTGTGTGTATATGTGTATTGTTTTTATGTATAATTTTACAACTTTTAATTGACACCATCATTCCCTCGTAAATTACTGCTGCCTTTTATGTTTTTTTCTTTTCTTCTGGTCTATGACCGTAATAAATTTATTCATTCGATCTACAGGGCTTCAATTCTACATGTTTGCCAAATTATCAGTCGGACAGGACTAAAAACATCTAGAATGCCTTTTGGTACTATGAGGAATTTACATGAAAGAAGCAAACAGTAAAACTATCAATAAGTAGTTTTTTTTAAAAAAGGTAAAGGTAAAGGACCCCTGACAGTTAAGTCCAGTTGCAGACGACTCTGTGGTTGTGGCGCTCATCTTGTTTTACAGGTCGAGGGAGCTGGTGTTTGTTCGCAGTCTTCTGGGTCATGTAGCTAGCATGACTAAGCCGCTTCTGGAGCAACGTAACACCGAA